CATGGATACATAGTCTAAATCGTTGCAATACTGATGACACTGCCTGGCAAATTTCATTTGTATCTATTACAGAGCAAGCTCTTCTTATACGTTCTTGCATGTCAAGTTTGGTAGTTGGTTTTTCGCGGTACACTTCTGCCTTTAATTTTCCCCACAAATAAAAATCGAGAGGTGTCAGGTCTGGGGATCGTGCCGGCCATTTGTTACTTCCTGATCGACCTACCCAAGAATCTCCAAATTTTCTATTTAGAAATTCTGTAACATTGCGTGCTGAATGAGCAGGGCATCCGTCTTGCTGGAACCACATGGATTGTCGTATGTCCAGTGAAGTGTCTTCTAACAATTCTGGCAAAACGTCTTCTAAGATTCTCAGGTACTTACTACTATTTAGCGTGCCATCAATAAAATATGGACCAATTATTTTATTATGAAGAAGACCGCACCAGACGTTTACAGACCAAGGTCTCTGTTTGTCGACTTCTCTCAACCATCGTGGATTATCTACCGACCAGTAGTGCATGTTGTGACGGTTAATTGCTCCATGGTTTGTAAATGTGGCCTCATCGGTAAATAACAATTTACTCAAGAACATTTCATCGTCTTGTAGTTTTTGTAAGCCCCATTCACAAAATTGTAAACGTTTTGTATAATCATTTTCAGTTAATTGTTGATGAAGTGATATGTGGAACGGATGAAATTTGTTAATGTGTAATATTCGTAAAATACTTCGTTGACTGATGCCACTTTCGCGTTCCAGTTGTCTTGTACTAACATGTGGATCTTGTATTACAGCTGCTACAATATTTATCGAGTTTCCATCATCAGTTGCTCGTTTGGCAAGATTACGTGTTTTGTTATCCACAGTTCCAGTTTCTTGGAACTTTTTTATAATGTTTGTAAAGACAGAAAGTGAAGGTCTATTATTACGATCGGGAAATCTTTCACTATACACACGTACCGCTTCCCTCATAATTCTATGACATTCACCATAAATAAGAACCATTTCTACTTTCTCTGCTATCGTGTAACGCATTTTAGAAAACTAAACACTTAGACTGAATAAATGTTACGAAGCTGTGCTCTAGTCGGTAGTAAAATTACCAATAATGTTTGAGGATACGGATAAGCGTACAATGTGATTGAATGTTTGTTTATCTTTTGTGACCCGTGTCACGCAATACACACACGTGATACACAAGTATTCGAAATGTACTCTGACACAATTTATTTTCTATTGCAGTTGACTTTGGGTGACCTTGAATGACCTTAATAATAGGTCATTGTATTCGCCTTGAAACACTCTATCAGAATGTAAGTAATAAAATATACTGTTCCATTTAAAAAAACAAAGTTGACCTTCATATCTCCTTGACGCCTCCACCTACAAAAAAATTGGTAATACCAGATTATGAGCCCCCCGATACCAAATAAGTTTGGTCTAATGCATTTTCTCCTATCTTCAAAAACAAGCGAGTTATTCAGGTGACCTGTTTAAAATGCCTCACCCTGTATATCTACGTCCTTTCTTCGTCCGGGTATTTCAACGGCCCATCGATGCGCGAGCAGTATAAACAAAACACTATCGCCACGTGCTCGAGCCACTGTTGTTTCTCTTGAGTCAGTTGAATTCGGTCGACGAGGACGAACATCAGGAGAAATTTAAAGGTACGTGCCGTAGGTCATTCTGAGACATTTAAATTGAAAAAAAGCTTTCGCGTAGGTATTCTGTAATTTTCTGTTCTTTCGCTTTTCTGCTTTTATATCATGGAAACGGTTGTGAAATCGAAGAATAAGTGTAAGCGCGGTTTTTTATCTTCATGGATAAATGATCATAGATTTAAATCATGGATACGTGCAGTACCCCATGATAGAAGTCGTTTTTATTGTACTTTATGCAATAAGTCTTATTCTTGCGGTTCCTCAAACGTGTATAGACACGGAGAATCTGGGTGTCATAAAAAAAATAGTACTTCTAAAAGGACTTTTATGCCTCAATGGCTTGAGAATGATTATTTCAAGCCATGGTTGCATAAAGTCGACGGCGACCCTTATTCATGGTTCTGTTCGGTTTGCAACAAACAATTTTCATGTCGATTATCGACGATTTATAATCATGCAGATTCTCAGTGTCACATTGAGAATTATAAAAAGAGTAACGATAACGCAGACAATTTGAATAATAATTTTACGACGCAATCCGAAGAATCGCCTCTGTCGTTGGATGAAAGGATAAAATCCGCGGAAATCAAATTTGCCAAATTAATAGCCGAAAAAAATATTCCGTATCGAACCGCAGAGACGATTCTTGAAGTTTTCAAAGACATTAGGCAAGATCCTGATGTCTTGAAACATATGTCGTTCGGTCGAACAAAGTGTTCAAATATTATATCAAACGTTTTGTATCCTTTAGAAACAAAACGTATTTCTAGTGTTTTACAAAACACTAAATTTTCTATTTATATTGACGAAACATCCGACTCGACCAACGAGAAATGGATGACGTTTCTTGTTCGTTATGTTGCACCCGAGACTTTGGATGTTCGAACGGAATTGGTAGAATTATTACATCTTGATGCCAGAAATTGTGGCGCAGATAATTTATTTTAAACATTTGAAATTGCCATGATAGAAAGAGAAATTCCGTTCGAAAATATTGTCGCGTTGTCATGTGACAACGCTGCTGTCATGACATTGGCAATCGATGACGAATTTCTTAGCAACTTGTATGTTTTTGAACCCACTTTTATATTAAATGATACAAATAGAGACATTTCCTTCAGAAATGTTCTCTTAATCGCTAAGAAATTCGGCGGTTTCGACGAAGAAGGACTGCAAACAGAATGGTCAGTATTGCCTTTGGAATTTACAACGAAAGGTAGACAGATGCTTATCGAGATGAAATTCGATGGTTTCTGGAAAACAATTTTATTAACGCGAAATTTGGACTATAAAATTAAATTTCCTGAATTGATGAAATTAGTAAATACAATTAGATCACTTCCAAATTCCAATGCCGATGCAGAAAGATTGTTTTCCATGTTACCTGACATAAAAACAAAGAAACGGAATAAACTTTCTTCGGCCAGCGTCAACTCTATTTGCATTGTGAAATCTTCGTTAAAGGCGCAGAGGGAAAACTCTCAACCCATGGAGGTAGATAACGATCATCTAGCTCTATTGTATTCCAAAAATTTATATCATAGATTTGCTAAGAAGCAAAAGTGTAATTTAAGATTAAACGCAACATATGACAATAACTTTGAGAATTTTCCCGCTACGTCATATGACGAAAATTAAGGTACCGATTTACTACAGAGCTTTTCTCTAGAGAGATTTTTCGTACTATTAGGCTGCAATGACAGTATAAACGTTTTCATGCGACGTCGCGGTAGACTGGTCTTGTTACGTCAACGGTACCGTGACGTAGGCGCAACAAGGTGTGATGCATGTATGTGCCATAACGTCACGCGAAAGCGCTTACACTGCAACCGCAGTCTTGTTAGTGATGTCCAAAATATTTTTTTTTGGACATCGCTAATATGTAAATAGTCGTTCAATTTGTCTCGCGTTGTTACTTTTTTTACGTATTTCGCTTGCTGTAAATACTATTCTGCTTGCTCTAACTATCATTTTTTTTCTTCATTTATTTGCTTATATTTTGCCGTATATTTTTAGTTAGTGAAATTGCTTGCTGTAGATAGTGTGGCTATGACGTAGAATGTCGCGCCTTATTACACTTACGTCACGGTACCGTAAGAGCAACAATGCACGACATAACGTGCCAACTTAATCGCAAACGTCCTATCCCGACATCCCATCCTTTGGAAATGTAAACAATTATATCATTTTTCCATTTTTATGGCTCGTGTGTATATTAATAAAAATTAATGCATTCACGAGTTAGTTTTTCATTATATTGTAATTTCATTACATTAATAAAAACATTTTAAAATACGGCATGTGATAATGTTACAAAGAAATAACAATTTTTTACATTTCCCTCCTGATGGAAGTGACCACCACCTTCCCGTGGTTTCCATTGAACGGTAGCGTGCACGTTATTCTTTTACCTATCGTTACAATTATTTTGTTATGTAAAGTTAAGTCAAATATATAACATTTGATTGTGTGTAACAATTTGATACGGTTATTAAAAAACATAGTGGGAAAAGTCAGTAGTAATCTATTTCTGTAGCGTGCACGGTACTGGCTAAGAGTGGTTTTTCATTTTAATTAACCCTTAATTAACCCTTTACGAGTAAGACTGCTTTGAACAACATTATTCTAAAATATTTGTGGAATACGTTTTTTATGTGGTTTAGGTAGGTATGCAAGGCATAAGATTTCGTTTAATTTTTCCTGTCTAGGAAAGATAGGAGAAAAGTATATTTGATCTTAATCCTTCTTAAGATTCATATAAATCGCTTTAAAAATTTGTTACAAATGATGTATATGTATCGAAATAATTATAAAACTAAAAACGTATAATCATCATTATATGGGAGCTGATCACGCTCAAAATCTAATGAGACCTTGAAACGAGAACATAAAACTTAAATGTTATGTTTCATTGAAATTCGTTCAGCCGTTTAGATGCAATCATGTCAATAGCATAGGAACAAAAAAAAAATATGTTTCTTTGTAGTAGTCACAATATGATGAGGGGGTCCTAAAACGTGTATTTCCGCTAAAAAAAAATTTCGAAATTTTTTGTCCATTATGATACTTTATTTTCCTTATACCTTACCACAGCCGACTCTAGTACTACTAGCCGTGCTATGGAACGTGGTAACACCGCTCATGTGCGGATCGGGAGTCCTATTTTCAATAGTGGAGTTTTGTGTTCAGGATTATAATTAACGTTATTTTGCGATATAAAATTATACTAATATACAGTATTTTTTATTAATTATGTATAAGGAATATATGAATATCATAACTATAGTAAGTAGAAGTAATACAGAAGTATATTAATATTTATAAATGCGGTATATATTTTGTGGACTGTCGGAATAGTTTGGTGTTGTGATGCATTATATTTGAAATATTTACAGAGATTTCAAGAAAATAGAAGTGTGAAAAAAGTTAAAACCATCTTTGAACCAAACTGAAGGATTTAAAAATTGATAAAGGTATGTATAAGTTAATAGAGACCTGAAATAGGCAAAATTATTGGTACGAAGCCAAACAGGTTAAGTGCCCGTGGAAAAGAGGTTAGCATAATTAGCTATTGAAAGGAACAATTATGGAGTTAATTATAAAATCGTGTTAGAGGACAGTATGATAATTGTGAAAAATTTCCTCACCACCCTAGGGGTATTTACCATGGCGCGTTACCTTTTTTTTTTATTATAATGGGTGGTTCGCCAATAGCCATATCATCCCATTTTCTAAAATAAAATTAATATTTTTAAATAGAACATAACAAAAACATAACTTTTGTATTCTTAAAGAAATAAAGTATTACATTTTGAAATAATAATAAATAATTTTGAATAATATTAATAACAAAACATATCAAAACATACTTTGAAATTCTCTTGAAATACAACTAATAAAACTTTGAATCTTGTGAAATAGTATTCATAATAAAAATATACTAAGCAAGTAAATAAAACTCTATTAATGTATTAAAACATATTGAAAGGAATAAGTTAAATATATATAAAAATTAATGTTTTAAGAAAAATGAAATTAAAAAAAATGATTGAAAATCTAGTTCCTATTAAAAGTTTTTAATTTACGATTTTTAGAAGTGATGTCTGTACGTGTTTCCAACTGACTATTATTTACAGTTTTCACATAATCGTTTAATAAAATATTTGAAAAAATTGATAATAATTTAAACCAAATACTTTGGTAAGCTCGACCACAAACGCATGTATCTGAAAATGCTAAATAATGTATGTCTGATTGAATGCTAATATATGTTAATTTACATAAAATATGTTTATGATTTCCAGATTGCAAAAACTGAGATTCTAAATTGCCATCATTTATTATGGCTTCCATTATTGCATACATATGAATAAATGAGGCTATCGCTTCTTCAGTGGGGACAGAAAGGCCCCCTCTTTGTAAGTGATCAAAATATACATCGCCTACAGTTTTACCTTTATCCTCCACAACTAATAAACGACATATATTGCAATTTAATTTTTTAGCAACAGAATGGGACCCATAACCAGAAATATAAATTTTAATGGAATCATCTGCAACACAATCGGACAAGTATTCGGTATCGAAGATTCCTGAGAAACAAGTCACATCAGTGGGAAGATCATGAAGATCGTTATTATTGTCATCACAAATTCGAAATTTATTTTTGATTTCAGTAAGAGAAAACGAATTTGCCGATTTTGTAAATATATGTTTTAATCTAATTTTTTTTTCTGCATGAATTATTTCGTTATATGACACATGATAATTACAACCAGATAAAAGTCTATAATTTCCAAATCGTTTTTCTAATTTTTCGGTTGTAAATTTTCCAGCCAAAAGATATGATATATCAAAATTTTGAAAACAGTACTCTGTAAGTAGTAAAAGAACTGTAGTACTTTGGTGCAGAGCTTTGAAAGTATCTACTGTTAAATGGCCATTTGTCTGCAAATTTTGCCAAGAATTTAACCATATTAGAAATTTCTTTAAAAATTCACATTCAAAATCGGTTTACAAAATTCGTTTCTTTTCCTGTTACCTTTTATACTACTTGTATTGTTCACAATGTCCCACCAATTGCGAAATATTTCTAAAAAATGAGCAGTAGCGGTATAATTGAAATCTTTCATAGCTGCTATTGTAGACTGATGGAATATATTATCAACGAGGAAAACGTTTTGTCGGTCAAAATTATTTGGATACAGTGACTTATAGTTTAATTTATAAGCTTTCTTAGCAATTAGCTTTCTTAGGTTTTTCGAAATCGTAAACCGTACGTAAATCATTAAACTTAGCTAATCTTAGTTCGTTTGTATAAATGTCGGGGAAAACGAAAGTTTTATCTACATTTTTTAAATTTGACCAATTATTTCTAATATTTTTCATTATATGAACAAAGTCGAAAGAAAGAAAAATGGTTTTATTAGATTGTGAAGGATTAGGAAAACTTATACCATTATTAGATAATTTATTAAACATATTTCTATTGATTCTATGATTATCTGCTACAATGCATATTATTTCGAAACCACATTTTTGGACAAATTCTATAATTTTATAAACAATGGGTGTCATTTCAGCCCCGGTAATATTGAAAACTGGTAATAATTTAATAATTTCAGAAAAATTTCCAAAAGCTGAACATATCATAAAAGCTAAAATGGTTTTTGCCAATTCGTTAGAATTTGAAGCGGAACCCGCAAGTCTGTTTGATTTGTACTGTAATTTTGAACTAATATAAATTTCATCAATTAATAAAATCACTACTTTTTCTCTAGATGTTAAATTGGATGATATATTAATAAGATAATGTTCATTTGTTATATCATTATCTGGTGAATAGCAACCCTCCATTTCTCCCGCTATTCCTCATCTTTGGGGAATAAAAATATAGAATTGTAATTATTATCTTTTAAGGTACTATCATAATTTCCCTTGCAATTGGGAACACAGCAACGCCGTGGCATTATTAATGAATATGTGAAATTTATAAAAAAAAATGTATATAAAACAAAATGTCCAAAAATGCTATAGATTATATTAAATAAGTGTGCTACACACCAAAATCAGGATCTGTAGAGTTAATATAAATAAATGAAACACCTGGATTATTGCTCCGTTGCTCACATTTAATGGACTTCAGTACATTAATATTTGAAACATTTGAAAGATCGGCGGGAGACCGGAAGGCCGGAAGGCCGGTAGATGGAGCCTATGTAGCCCAGAGGCCGGTGGGTAGTGGGAGGCTGGGAGACTGTTACGGTAGGTTGGGCTAGGTATATCGAAGCCGGACTCCCGCGGTGTTGCCATTTTACCTTCAGCACGGCTAGTAAGTACTAGAGTCGGCTGTGATGTTACACATCAGAATTCAACTTCCGGGATCAAAAACAAGTTTCATCTCTATTCAAGTACTCTATGCTTATACTACGTTAGTGGTTTGTGGACTTATCACGGTTCATTTTGGTTAGAATTTTTACCCTCCTTAACGCATAGGTTAAGTAAGTTTGTTCGTATAAAATTAGATACATTTAGCCATCATGTACGAGGATTATAACGAGGTAAATATTGGTTGGAAAATAGTAATATAAAATGGTGTAAATTTCGTAAATGAAGCTATTATTTATACAATTTTCAGTATGATACATATGATGAGTATGGATCGGTAGATGGTTATAACGAACAATATGACAGAGTAAACTACCGTCAAATACCAGAAGTTGTACGAAGTTTTCTCGTATTCTTACGAAACTGTATAAATGAAGGAATGATTTTTGAAATACAAAATCTTTATGAAACATCGTTTCCGAAAATTTCAGAACAATTGTTTGATAAATCTTCTTGGCCAGATGCTCAAGCAATTGCACATATAGTTGACAATGACCCGGTATTCCTCACTCTCTACAAAGAACTGTATTATCGTCATATTTATGCTAGAATGCAAGGACCAACGTTAGAACAACGTCTTGGTTCTTTTTATAATTATTGCGATCTTTTTAATTACATATTGCATCCAGATACACCAGTTCAATTGGAATTACCCGATCAATGGTTATGGGAACTTATTGATGAATTTGTTTACCAATTTCAATCTTTTACACAGTATCGTGCTAATATATCCAATAAAACATCAGAAGAAATTGAGAATTTGAATGCACATAGCAAAATATGGGATATACTTTGCGTTTTAAATGTTTTACATTATTTAGTTGATAAATCAAAAATTAAAAGTCAATTGGAAGTTTATGCAAGTGGCGGAGATCCAGATTCGGTTGCTGGCGTATTTGGAAGACATTCTTTGTATAAAATGCTTGGATATTTTTCTCTTGTAGGTTTATTACGCTTACATTCTCTCTTAGGAGATTATTATCAAGCAATTAAAGTACTAGAGAATGTGGAACTTTATAAAAAAAGTGCATACTCTCATGTACCTGGTTGTCAGATATCAACTGCATATTATGTTGGTTTTGCATATATGATGATGCGTAGATATGCAGATGCAATCAGAACATTTTCTGGTATTTTGTTATACATTCAAAGAACAAAGCAATTATTTGCAACAAGAAGTTATCAGAATGATCAAATTAATAAGCAAACTGATCAGATGTATCATTTATTAGCCATTTGTCTTGTTCTTCATCCCCAATGCATAGACGAAGGATTACAACAGGCACTACGTGATAAAAATTATCACGAAAAAATGTACAAGATGCAATATGGAGATTTAGCAGAATTTGAATCATGTTTCCTATTTGCATGCCCAAAATTCTTGTCCCTTACGCCACCAAACCCTGACAATCCAACCGAAGATTATGTTCGAGAAGCAATCAAGCACCAAACTCAAGTCTTTATGGATGAAGTAGTTCAGCAGAAAATGTTACCAACGATTCGTTCATATTTAAAATTATATACTACTCTACCGCTAAGTAAACTAGCTACATTCATGTGCAGCAATTCTAGACCTGATGAAAATTGGGATTTAAAAAAGGAAGTTAATACTCTGACCATTCATTTATTGTGTTTCAAACATAAAATGAAAAATATTGTTTGGACAAAAGGTGCATCAGGATTAGATGGCAAGTTCCAATCTGGCTCAGAGGTAATTTATGTATTTATTAACATAATATTGTCATTATTAATATCAATTACGAATGAGAAATAATAATTTTATAATGTATGTTATTATAGTTGGACTTTTATATCGATCATGACATGATCCATATCGCGGACACAAAAGTGGCACATCGTTACGGTGACTTTTTCATTCGAAAAATTCTGAAGTTTGAAGAGTTAAATCGAAAATTGCATCACATAAAGATTTAATTGTATTGTAACCATATTTTCTAAAGGAAAATAAAATTTTGATTACTAATAAATACGTTTTTATTGTATAATCAAAACCATCATTTCAAAAGGTGCTTTAAAGATACTTTATTATGTGCAATTATAAGGTTTAAAAGCATTATAGTCAGTCATTTTGCCAGGCGTTTTAAAGGCATTATAATACAATTTTGTACAACAATTTTATGTTAAGAAAAATTAGAGTATTTGATAGATTCTTACTATTAAAATAAAATCAACATTTTTATCTTGTTATCGACTTATGCAATATTCTGAAGGCAATCGTTGACTGACATCCTGTGTTATTAAAAAAGAGATCGAACAAATAAAATATTTGCATTTGTGTAATATTAATTGTTTTTATTGTCCAAAAATTTGTAACATTAAGTATACTATGTTTGTTTTTAAAAATATTTGCAAATATACATTTCTATTCTTATAAATTACATAGTTAAAAGTTAATTAGTACTTTTAATTATACGCGTATCATTGTTTATTTTGTCGTACATTACTTGACATGCTGCTGATAAAATATTAGGCTGGAATGATGTAGATGGAACTTTTAAATTGTGAAGATAATGAAAAAATCGATTTCCTCGTTTAAGATTCATCTTAACTTTGCATTCTTCTGCTCTACATATCGTTCTTACAGATGGAAGATAATCTGTAGATATAATTCGACGATCGAGCACTAAAGATGCAGTGTGTGATAATGCTATATTTATTCCAGTGTTTAATTGTTTCTTTAATGTGATATTATTTCGATACTGGGTTCCATTCTGTTTATTTAAGTGATCTTTATACGTAACTTTGTCACTTATCCATTCAGCTATGTTTAAACATATATTATTTGAAACTGAATATGAAGCAGTATCCTCGATCAGAGACAGACTGGGTTGTGTTTTTATTTGCCATAAATTTAATGCAGTATCTTCTATGTTAATTAAAGATGACAATAAAACTATGTTATCTAATTTACTTGCTACATCATTTAATATTTCTTTATTATCATTTGTTACTTTTCTGTCTGCAATCTTTTTTGTTCTTTGCCTTTTACTTACTTTAATTGCTGGCTTATATAAGTAATGTTGCATATTTTGCCAAAAAGAGTTGTTGAAAATTATACATTGTTGTTCTGGTATTTGTATTGGACCAGATAGCAATAGATACTGTAACTGCAGTATAGCTTTGCGTAAATCTCCAGTTTGCACTAATTCCTATAAGAAAAAGTGTTTTGATGTAATATTACATTCTATTGCTTTTTACCATTTACTTTCGTTGATTAAATAACTAAATTTAATCTATTTGAAACATACAAGTAGCGTATATAAATTTTATATTATTAAAAAAACAAATGAATTTTTTTTCATTTGCCTGTGTACTAACAATACTTACTGTTATGCAGTTATGCGGTAGTTTGTAACCAGTTTCTGCTAATGAAATCAGTTCTAACAAAGCAAACATTCTACTGCCAGCAACGTTTTGAAAATAAATTCTATTTTGCTGAGGTGCTACTTTACTCAATTGTGGATAAACATCCCTACACGTCATGATAATTGGACGTTTTGTGTTTGATGCTAATTGATATGTAGCAGAAGTAAAACCTTCGTCTTCTTCAAATACAAGATCAATATCTTCTATGAGAATGAGAGAATTTTGTGGTATTTCCTTTGGTAACATTTCATTTGAAACTGAATTAAAAAAAGCAGACGCGCTGTTCTTTTTTTTTATTCTATGTGATTTAGTTGCCTCTTCCAATTCTTTTAAAAGCTTTTTCCCAGTTCTTCTAGATGATGCGTTTACTTCTAATACGCTAAACAAAATAGAGTTCTTTTTTAATAACTACATATAATAAAAAATATTTAAATTATACATTATCTAAGTATTAATGTTGTATACGAACGTATAACCGAATTCTTCTGCTACTGCATACACAGTAGCTGTTTTACCACTTCCGTGTGGTCCTAATAATACAGCCACTTGATTATTTTCACTCATTCTTGAGGAACTATTATCTGATAAATAAAATTCATCTCCACTACTATCATCTTCATTTCTAAATGTTTCTGTCCACCCAATCAACCATTCTTTTAGCTTTGCAGCAGCTTCTTCGTTTCCAATTACTTCTTTAGCATTTTTTGGTCTATACTTGTAAGTCCAACTACAACCTTCAATTTGATTACCTTTGCTTTTACATTCAAGCATTTGTTTTTTCTCCAATTGTTTACTTCTTCTAGTTTTTGTTTTTGGAGACATCGTTTTATTAGAATTTCCTTTAATAGCGAACAAAACAATATCCCACATTTTCCTTACATCTGGACAGTTTTGTTCCATTTCTGATAATACTTCCTGAATTTTCGGTTTCTGAATATTTGTTGATGATTTTAACTTCGTTTCAGAAAAATCTATTATAAATTTATAGTTATTTACATTTAAATCTGGAACATATTGGTTCAAAATTTTGTCTCGAATATGAAAATTATTCATTCCGTCAGAATTTAAATTGCTTAATTGTGTAATGTGGCTAATACCTGGAAATGGCAATGTACCATAACCATTTACTTTTCGATCTATAGTTTTGTTATTTTTATCTGTTATATCTGGTTGTAAAAATAATTGCCGTGCTGCTACAATTTCCGGATCTGGTTTTTGCCGTTTTGTAAATAAGGGTGCTAATTTATCAGTCGTTTTTCTCTTTGAATTATTATCGTGAATGAGTGTGTTTATTTCACTCAGTTTAACTTCATTAATATTTTCTAAATTGGTACAAACATAGTTGATCTCATTTTTATCTTGTATAACGATTGATTTGTGTTTACGAGACATTACTTTATGTTCATTTTTAAATGTAGTTTTTGAATTTTTATTATCTTTTATTACAATACCATCTGTAGAACATTCTGATTGTTTTAATTCCTTTAATTTTACCTTCACACATTCATTCGTCTGTTTTGGCATACTTCTCTTGCTTTTAACATTTAAGGATAAATCTTCGGAACAAATATTTTTAATTCTTTTAGATTTTTTTGAATTTTCTACATTTAATTTATCTTTACTTCTTGGTGAGAATAATTCTTCATCGCTACTGTCACCTATTTTTCGAATAACAAACATTTAAAAAATCAAATAACAACTGTATAAGTAATATTAAGACAAAATTTAAAAATCAGAGATCAAAGTGTGTAAATTCATTGCCTGCAACCAAAATATAATTTGGGAGACTCCAATATTTTTTTTTCTTCATATATAATACATTTTTTATACTAAATAATGCAATCATTATTTTACTATATTTACTAAGTTATTAATTACCCAAGATAGAACTTTCGTCTTCGTAATTTCGAAATTTAACTCGTAAGGACCACCTGCATTTATTATTTTGTTGTTGTTGACCATGTTCTTTCTTTTTATGTGACATACTAATATTTTCAGATCCAATGATATTAATATCATCAATTTGAGACAAATCCAAATCTGATCTATTTTTTCTATTTGGCCGTATTTCATTGCTTAAATTTGAGTTACGTATACCATGTTTAATGGAGTTTTCTGCTATATGTACATCAGCCTTGACTACAATAGTAGACATATCTGATATATTTGTATGTGTTAAATCTACTGGTGTTTTCCTATCATAGACAAAATAAAGTAGAATACAATTTTAGGTAAATATTATTTTTTATTTTATCGAAGAAGATATTAATGGTATTACCTGAAATAATTTAACAAATTGCCTTGTAATTGTCTTTGACTTAAAACACTGGAGCGTTCATTATCTTTCTTTTCTTCTTTCTTCTCTCTTTTAAAAACTTTTATACGATTATGAATAATTTGTTCCACTTTTTCACTTTCTTCTAATTCAAATATTTTCCTTTTGGAATATCCTTTTCTATCTGCTAAAGCTATCAACTTTTCTTTAGAACGTTTTAATTTCTCTTTATATTCTTCAGAATTTCCAGCATCTATTTCCTCATTTTGGGAAGGAACTCTGATCTGCGACGTTTGTTGGACTGGTTTATTATTACGATTCATAATAATTTGAAAAGCATTAGATTCCTTATGATAACATTCATCGTCATCACTAGAGTCAATAATTAATAAATCTATATTATTAGCATGATTTTTATTTTCAAATGTACTAGTGGAGTTTACATCAGTGTTAATATTTTGTTCATTTCTCAATTTTTTCTTATAATTTTTATCACTATCTAAACAATTTTGAGAATTTTGTTTTTCTCTTTGATGTTTCAGTTTATTTACCAAAATATTTTTTGTTTCTAATGATAAATGATCTAGGTCTTGATTTCGTAATTTCTGCGATGTTATCTTTAACGAGGAAGAACTTTTAGGTTTGTGTGAATTTTTGTCCACATTATATACCTTGGTAAAAGAATTAAGTGTATCATCAATCATATCATTATTACTTTTTATGATATCACATATTCCATTTTTTGTATCTGTTCGCGATGTTTTCATTTTAACATGATTACATTTACCTTTAGAACCTTTCGTAGAGTTTGTTTCTTTCGTCGTGTTATCATTAGAATGTACTGTACTTTTACTAGATTTTACAGCATTCATAAGGTACTGTGTGATACTTTTCATTCTTCATCACTGCACAAGGAAAATTACAAAAATGCAGAGGACATTATGAAAGAAATCCATTTAATATTTATTCTTCTTATATACGTAGTGTAAAATTTTGGCGCCATGACACTATATGTTACTACTAAAACAGATTTAATGTAATATTCCCGCCATTTGCAGTAAACTTTTGTTGGCAACGCTTCAAAAATACAAATTTTTATTTCTTCTACGTCTCTTAAATTGATTTTCTGATAAAAATTTTTAGTAGTTAATTGAAATAGACGATCGTATTATACAAATATCTCTTATTTTATTTCAAATACGACATTTTTATGTTATAATTATGAATTTGTTGAATATCATACGCAACAGCAAATTCCAGTACTAGCCATGTTGAGTGAGATACAGTAACCCGCGGGAGTTTGATTTTATCGTTGAGAGTCGGCTTAATAACATCTATGTGATAAAAGACTCTAGACGTGACTAAGTTTTGATTGATAGAATCAATGTGACTAGTGAGACGGTTTTTTCAGTCGTGTGCATTAGAAATTACCTTACTATGCACATTAATGTTGTATTTTATTATTGTTATTAAATAAATGGTTTCGTTGGATATTAACTTCATTAATTTTACCGTGGGAAAATGCCTAAACAAGTAGTACCAATCCCTATGATTCGAACTACAGAACATGTCCCCAGAGGAGCCGGAAGTGCTCTGAAGGTGCTCTCTCTGAGAGAGTCTCTCACATTATGCCAGATCACGCGGCCCGAAATTACTTCGGGCAGCTTCGGAGAATCGAGAAAGAGCGCATGCGCCAGTGTGCCTTTGTCGACATTCCGAAACTCTACGAGCTCACGTACACGTGATCTGGCGTGGTAGTAGTGCACCGGTGCTGAATCTGGCATGCTGTATGTTCTGTTAGACGCTAAAGAAATTCGTCGTTACTAGTGTCGCGTCGATGCACTCAATTATGCCAAATCTGGCCACACTGGTTGGTATCTCATAACTAAATCTTATGTTGTGTTTAGCTCCTCCATGAAGTGATTTTTAAGAATAATCGCGGAGAGGTTGCTTATTCCATACGGAAAATATTTTTATTTTCACATAAAAGTTTCAAGCATAATATAAACTTGTACAAAATGGTAAGTACATTAAATTAGGTTTCCTTTTGTGTGATATTATAGGTTAAGTTTTGCACGTGACATCATTACTGTAGTAAACTGAATTACTTTAAAATATTTAATTACTTTTATTACTTTAAGGTAATATTACTTTTATTATAAGTAAAAGTTATAGTTAGTTCTATTTTATTTTACATCACTAAATGGAAATGAAAATTCTCTAATGATTAATATTTCTTATGTAGGGTGACGAAGTTAATCCAAAAGCATATCCTTTAGCTGATGCTACATTAACCGCAAAAATCTTAAATTTAGTACAGCAAGCAATGAATTATAAGCAATTAAGAAAAGGGGCTAATGAGGCAACAAAAACATTGAACCGTGGATTATCAGAGTTCATTGTAATGGCTGCAGATGCAGAACCATTGGAGATCTTACTACACTTACCATTATTGTGCGAAGATAAAAACATTCCATACGTATTTGTTAGGAGCAAACAAGCTTTAGGTCGTGCTTGTGGAGTATCTAGACCTGTTGCTGCTTGTTCTGTAACAGTTAATGAAGGCTCACAATTGAAACCCCAGATTCAAGCTATACAGCAAGAAATTGAACGTCTTTTAGTTTAAGTAATTTGTATCTGATATGAAAACTTTTCTTTAAACTTCGAATCCATATTGCCATTCACATATTTGTAAACCAGAACAATCAAATACTTTATGTATAAATCAATTACACGATTAAAAATTTTAAGGAAAAAATTTTAATTTCTATTTAATCTCAAAGTTCATATAAGGCCTAATAGAGGCTGATGAAGCTTGCTCAGGCCTCTTATCTGTCTCTGATGAAAATAATAAATACTATCAATTGCCCATCCCTTACCTTATCAGTCAATGCATTAAATATATGTTGTAAAAAATAGGTCTAAAAACTTTAAACAATATACACATGCGTAAAATGAATATGTTAAAAATTATTTATTAAAGTAAGATAGCACAACAGAAGTCCAGTTACTATGCCACCGATTTTCTTGAAAATTACGAAGTTCCTTCCGGAATTTTTCGTCCAACACACGTTGAGAATCATTATTGGGGAAATTTTCAAACCACAATTTTAATTGATCTGATAGTTCTTTTTTGTTTGAAAAAACCATTCCATTTTCATTATGTTTAACAAGTTCTGATAAACTGAAAAATAAAAATACTGTAGCTGAATCTTTAATTTTAAACCTTAATACATTAAAAACATCATTATACGTAGTAATGAATGTGGCAGACAAAAATGATGAAAACAACAAATATTTACATTTTAAGTAATGTAAATTTTCATTATTAAACTTACCATTTAAAATCATATGCACAAACTGGAAGTCCACATCCAAACATATCAACAACTTTCATTGGTAAATCCAAACCACTAGATGATGTATGGAGACAAATACCTAGGTCGGCGCTAGCTTTATACAAGAAGTACATTCTTTACATATATATAATATATATCTAAATGTGTATGTACACACGTAGAGAGAGAGAGAGAGTGTAAGTAAGTAAGGTGTTCCATTTTTATCTCTCAAGATAAATATCTTGAAAGATGCAGAAGCTATGAAGAAATATTTTAGACAAAAATTATATAGGTGTTAAGGGGAACAGATTATGCTGTCATTTATTTGACCTCCTATTACTTTTCTCCATGTTAGCCATATACTATAGATTTTAATTTTAAAATTCGACATTGATACCATACAATTTTTGTCTGAAACAATTTTTCATATCTCCTGAAAGATTGAAATGGAACACTCTTTACATATATGAATACATACAAAATCAGTACAGAATACGTTTTGTATATTATTTAAATACCTAGTATTTTAGGATAATCTTCACTTTCAAGCCATGGTGTTATAATTGTAACGTGTTTCCAGTTTTTTAATTTTATAATAGCCATATAAAATTCTTTCAAAGGACCTTTACCAGTTATTACACAAATTAAATCAGGTAGATTACAAATATTCTTTGTAATTGCATTTTCATATTCTGGAAAAATACATATATTTCAATTATAATAGAAAGTATAGAAAATTATATACAAGATTTTAATCATGCAGTAATTATATAGGATATTCTAAAATCATGTATTAAAAGGAATTAAAAGTACCTTGCAATGCACTTAATAACATTGAAAAATCTTCATCTTCTGTCCAACTTGTACTTGAAACAATGAAGCCAGGTCTTTCAGAGGATAAATGTACTTTGTTTGATATATATTCTGTAAATATAGTCGAGTTTTCTTTTGAACCTTTAAATATATTATATTTTTCGATTAATTTTAATAAAAATGTATGTTTTTCTATTAATGATATAGGATGAAATTCATTTGCTGGACGATCATATAATACTTCAGCTCTAAACAAAAAAACATTATTAAATGATCTATTTAAAGAGACAAATATATTTAAAAATACTAACTTGATTCTCCAGTTTACTTCTAAATCTTTCTTCAATGCTTTAGAAACACAAAAATTAGCTTGTGCTTTAGAACCAAAATATGTTTCGATTACTTTTGCAAATTTAACTAACAAATGATCGTTTCCCAAACCAAGTGCCATTAGAGTATAAGCATAATTATGCCAGTCAATTATAAATTGTGAATTCATTATAATACAATAAAACCAACAAATTGGAAGTGTTGGTATCGCAGGTGGATTCTGTACTAGAACATGACTTGATATACGTTTTCGAAACAAAATCCATGATAGAGTAATAGTTTGCCATAATGTTTTTATTACATAACATGGAAGACGGGATAATACTGAAATATAAAAAGATGTTTTGTTTGAATGAATGAAACATAGACAACATTGAATGAGACATATGTAGCAAAAGAATTTGTTACAATTGTAATTAACGAAGCATATTGTAAATGCATAATAAAGTTGATATCATACTATTGTTTAATTCTGGTGGAGGTGGAAGGTACTGAATATGTATGCAAGGACTTTCTCTTATTTCTTTTAATGGCAACGAGCCAGGATAACCTATAAAATCTACGGTAAATCCTTCTTTTGCAAGTGATATAACATGATATTGCATTCTAGGACTTCTACCCAAATCTCCAAGAACAAGGACACAGACATTCTTATGTTCTTTATATGCCTTCAAATACAATTTTCTAATTAAAACAACAATTAAAGCAAGTATACATATTACATAAAGTGACCACATTTTCAAACAATGCTACCGGGCCACGCTACTGTGCAAGCCTTTCCTTTTTGAACTTGACAACTTAAGACCGTCCTCGTGTTAATGGCATACAATCTCGAATATCGACTGCCCATACATTTTTACGTTTCGATCTATATAGGCACATACATATAAACAAAATCGAATGGAAAACAAATTTATAGAAAAATACACATTTTAAGACCCCGTGATCATATTTTAACTATTAAAAAAAGGCATTTTTTTTATTATTCCTATGGATGAGCATATGTATACAATACAACCCGACCAAAATTAGAAATGTATGAAAATTCTTCGCTTTAATGTTCTACTTTAACGAGTATATCACAGTTATCTTTAATATAATGTTTCTATTATTCCGCGCAAATGTTCTTAGTTCTAAAACAAATCTATAACAAAATGGTCATCGAAATTTATTATTATTTTATAAAGGATAAAAAGGGAATCACTTTTCCAAGTTTCTCTGCAACAATTTTTTTTCTAAAAAAGAACTTTTATTTACAAAGCAAAATAAATTGCCGGTGACACTAGCACATGCAATAGGAATACCGCTTTCCTATTGCTTAACATAGTTCACCTGGCATTCGACCATACAAAATGGGTAGAGGAATTTTTATTAACGAAGCAAAAAGATCTTGAAGAATCCAAAAAAACGATCCTTCGAAGATCGATAAGCCTCTGGAGCAGCGGTAGCCACATAATATCGCCAGGTCCACCTTTCCTGTGTTGAAAGTAATACATATTGTTGACAAGAAACAAAATGCAGATCGTTTAAGTGTAGCAAAGATTATTTGTATTATTAATATTTGACGGAAAATAAGCAAGGCGAGTTTCTTGTTTAATAACTATTATAAAATTAATAATTTAATTTTCAAGCATTGAACTTGTTTCATATTTCTGCAAATGTCTATGTTTCTTTTAGTAACTAATGTTTATAATATACTTTAAATATAACGACACAGACAAATTAAATTTTAATATACCAAATCAATAAAACTTTAACAACATTTTTAAAAAGGATGATCGATGGATCTTGTTTTATGAAAATTATTTCATTCTACGTATTTTCTAATAGTGACAATCGATAAATTATTGCATACTACAATTACGACATATATTTTACTGTTCTATAAAATTGTCCTACCCATGCAATATTATTAATATCCGAGTAATGTTCCATTTGTACCCCATTTTTTCTCCTTCGAAATTTGTATTACGAAAATAAAAAATAACATTTCAATCGAAATTACTGTCATAGAGAAGTATTTACATCGCATTATAAAATCAAGTATTAATTTCGTAAAAAATAATAAAAATATTAATTAATCGTAACAGATAATAATAACCCACAGATGGATTAACTTCCGATGGAGGCAAAAAATACAGTGCAAAGTTAGATTGTTATTGTAATTTAGTTATACTATGCCCATTGAAACAATCTTGTCTTATCAGAATATCTTCCTTTTCTTTCAAATTACATTGCATGATGCAAAACGGTGTCCATGATTTTATATAGACAAGACTGTCATTGTTATCATTTTGTTTAAATATAGCTATATCTATTGACTGTTCGTGTAAATATGAATGTATATATGTTTCAATATAATTTGTTTCTGTATTTTTTTTGTTTATAAATCAGTGCTGTTACGTTACATGTCTAGATATCAGTATCAATTTTGACGATTTTGCTTTCATTCTCGTGTTCTTAATTGCATGAGCAACGTTCGATATTTATAGTAATATATCGTAAATATCTATCAGTGAGAATAGTCTTTCAAGCAAACAAAGAAAAATATATAATTATTGCACTAGTCGCATGAAGATGCTCCGTTTCTCGGGAACTAAATGTATCGATATCTGTATCTAGATAAATTTAAATTATTAATCGAACAGCACAGACGAACTCTGATTATACGATAATATTGAAAAATTCCTATCTAAAATCTTTTGTGCGTATAACAACAAGTAATATTGTAATACATGTTTTTTTTTACTTACGAGTTACAAATAGCTGTACTATTATAGAAATTTCCAAGATCTTCGATCATTTGGTCAAGTTAATGAAAGTTACTTATTTTGCCTAATAACATTCTTATACTTGCTGTGATTATATTCTTTTTTTCTTCATTTTCTTTTACGCAACCTGAAAGGTCGGGGGTTTTTTTTTTTTTGTTCATCGATTAATTAATCACTAGATCCAAATCACTACTTGGTTCATCAGATGTTTGTGTTTGTACAATTCACAACTCGCCTTACAATAAGATTACCGTCTTATGGTCGTTCAATATTTTAAAATATTTGAACCATGCTTAACTCATTTCACAAAAAAATGTGTTCAATGTATTTTAGGTTGTGTGGGAAGCCAACTTTTTTTTTCCTTATTTGAGTGTGTAGTATAATAACAAAAAAACGAGTATTAACCCTTTGAAATATCGCTAATATATTGCTCGGTTTCTCACTTCATTCTTGATTCATTTCATTTTTTTGATGATGTTAAATCAAGATAGCCATAGAAAAATATACTTTATTCATACTCTTATAATTCAGACTTTCTGTATGCTGTTGTTCTCAAATTCTTATTTTTGTTCGTCTCACAACTTTAAGATATGCTTCATGATTACTTTTAAAGAAAACGAATTTCCTTTCAAATTAAAAAAATATATTTCGAATATTTGGATTGCTATGTTTACTCAATATATGCTTCAAAAGGTTAATACAAATATGCATGTTAGAAATTAAAAATCATAACACATGCTTGAACATCATTTAAATTCACAGGATATAAAATTTTTCGGATTCCCACATATGGTTATTCATTTAATTACGGTATGTGAAATGGCGATTAAAAACTGGTATTAGCAATGTTGTGCTTTATAGAGCAATAGCATGAACCAAATAAAGTTTTCAAAATATTTTAGTCAACTAAAATGTACTGAGATAAATGAATAGAAATTAATTTTATCGGTACAAAAATGTAATTGTCAAATAAATTATTATTTTAGTCTTTATTGTCATAATAATCTCTTATTTGATTATTAACAAGTTAATAGATACAAGAACAGACAATTTGGTTCATGTTATTTGTACGTCAATAGTAACTTTTAAAGAACAAGATTTCACAAAAATCATACTATATAACATTTTACATGGTGTTAACTTTGTAACGCCATATAATCCTTTACAGAATGATAATACAGAATTTTTGCAAATGTCGTGTGTCCGTGATCATTTGCGAGTAAATTACGTTTACCTCGTATTTTATAAAAATCTAATACTTTACGATGTGAAGCGCATATTTAAGACTTCGACGTGAAAAATAATTTTAAACGATGAAATTTATTAATTGCAAACGATAAGGCCCATTACGCGCGATTTTTCTATAAAAAGATCTAAGTTCTCCTCTGCTTTGAAAGCTAAGTAACCACGACGTGTAGGAATAAAAATCGATTAAACTATCCAATTCATAAAATCCTCGATCGAGAGCGCCATAGAAAAATATAAATTGGCGGTGTTCTTATGGTAATTCGGAATTCTTTCGTGAACAAAACGACATACCAGGAAGACCCGCCATAGCAATAATTATTTCGCATTATTATCGATGCAGAATCCAGTACGAAATTTAAATATACGATTTTACGTATTCGAAAGTCATGACTCTTTCCATTTAAAACAGAAGTTCTCAAACTTTTTATTCAATAGCCAAAAATTTAATCATCTTCAAGATATTCAACAAATATTTAAAAACCAGATCCAGAACAAAACTTTGATACACTATCTAAAAAGAGTTTATAAGATCGGCGAACCTTTTTTTGATCATGCAAAATACTGACTAAAATTTAATTCTACAAAGACGAAAAAAAATATTTTTCGAATTTTGACATGTAAAATTGATGCTGGAAAAGGGTTTTACATTTTGCAGAAACACTGTGAAAACTATTATGTAGTGCAAACGGTTAATGGAAAGCTTGTTTTAAGATTTTTCCACTTATTACAAAATATTTTTAATTTACTTCATGTTCAAAGATATTTATGTCTTTTAAATTTTTAATATATAAAATGAATTAAGCATACATGTCGCAGGTTCGCCGCACCGTAGTTTATAACAATTCTAAATATGATAATTATATGATCTATAAATCTAAAATATCAAACTCAACTGAGGGAGAGAAGTCAGGTAAAAGTTTTATGCAATGACATTGAATTTATGAAATTTGAATACTTCTGATTTCATACGCGATGTTTAGTAAATTAACACACAAATTTTTAATCTATAAAAATGTAAAATGTAACATTTTCAAATTTATGTATACATATATACATATATCTGGTTTTTTTACTTTTCTTGGTCTGGAAAAGTATTATGTACTGGGTTCAATACCGATTATTATGTAAAAAGAAGCTCACCAATGTCCAGCAGGTGATCGTAAATATTTCTTAGAAACGCTTGAATAACAAAGTCGCAATAACGCGTTTTTAAATGACTTAGAAACAAACGTTTCGAAACGATGAATATAAAGTATTTATATAAAATCAACTTCCACTTATTCGAATCTCAAATGCTTCACAGCGACAATCGCTCTATTTGAGCAACTTCTTCGTCATTTTTCACACTTGCAAACTCAATGTTCCACCAAAGACACCTCAGACTTCACCGGAGACATTTACACTTTTAGTTTCACTAGTGGCAAATTTAAGAAATATACAATCTTCAGAGATTTACATTTGCATCACAGTGGTTTTTTCCCTTTACTTACTTTAAAAAATAAGCGACACAAGTCTAAGGTGAATATAATTGGCAGTTACTCACTTTGTTTTCTGCTCTTTATAGATTAAATTGAATTGTACACTTGCAGTTGTAGACTGCTTCAAAGATATTCTTAATTTACTGGTCAAATTTTTTAGATATTTTCTTTTATATCTGATTTTTTTCCATCATGAACTGTTGTCATTATTACTTTTTTTTTCTATGGTACTGCAATTAAAAAGATAATTGATAACATTAGTTCCAATTGATATTATTTTATTTCTTACCGTATATTACGTAGGCAGTAAAGTTTTTTTTAAATTTTTTCAAGGAATTGTCAAAAATCACAAAACCACATAAATCATGATGAAACTATGAAAAGAAAGTAAGTAAAAGTTTGCTATTATAATTCTATTGAATATAAAATAGATATTTGTTATAAAAGAAGCTCAAATTGATATACCATTATTTGATCACTGTGACATTAATTGATTGATATTAGCACAAGTAACTAACTTGTTTATCATTGTTTTATACTGCCACTATTAATGCTTTGCATATTCAAATAAAATACTTATGCAAAGTATTATCATTGTTGAAAGAAGTCATATAAACATACAACTTGAATTACTTTTTCCATCCTTTGGTAGATCACTATACAAAATTTTAAGATCCACGAATTACTTCTGTGTATGCTTTCAACGATTAGGCTCTGTCACTTCATTAAACAAAGGTGTTAATGAATCAACATCTTGCAATCCATCAAAATTACCGAGTGGGTCCAAATCATTTGTTTCTGTATCAGTTTCTCCGAGGAAATTCGCCTCGAGCAAATCCACAACATTCCTACACAAGCTGCCAGAAGCAGATTCATTTCCAGTTTCATTATGTAAGTTTAAAGAATTTAAAGTAGGGCTTGAAAGCATTGGTTCATTAGTCTCCTGATAGGTTTCTTGCGATTGAACTGTATGTAGTGGCGTTGAAGGATACGATCTTGATCCATTGCTATCTTCAGCATACGATGGTGTATAGGTAGATACTGGCACAGGTAGTGGTGTATTAGGATAAGAGCGTGATTGTATTATTTTCTGCAGGGCTCCGCCTACTGGAATATCAAGTACATTCGATGGGTCCAACATATCTTCCTCCGATAAGTTCAAGTTCGAATTTGGTAAAGCATCCAATACAATAGCATTGCTCTCTATTAAGCCTTCTTCTGCAGGTTGCTCTGGTAAAATTTGTAAGCTCTGTGTTCCTTCTTCGTCCAAAATATTTAATATATTTGTTATATTTTCAGGTGTAATTTCTTTATCGGTCATTAAGAAATGCTGATCGTCCGACATAAAATTTGGATCAACATCGTCGAGTAAATACGTTGATGTTCCTTCCGATTGACCAATCGATCCAAAATCGTTAAACTCGCTAGGTACTGGCGTAGGCGCTATAGAACTGCTTGTAGACGGATTAAAACTCGGACTTTGAAATGTTGATAGGCAATGTTGCGTTGAAATAGGCGACATTAAGGCAGGATTTACCATTCTATGCAATGGGACTGATTGTGATCTGTAGAGTTCGTTGGTAAATTGTTTATTGCCATGAAACAATTCGCTGATTTCCTGATCAGGTTGATTCTTTTGATAAACATTTTTTATTTCTTGCAAATTTTCCTGACTCGGATAGTTAATAAGCAACTGTTTCTGCGGTGCTAAATCAGATGTTAAAAATGCGGCACACTGTGGCCCCTGTCCCTCTCTTTTGGAAGTAACAGAAATTTGCGTTGTATTGCTGCCAACCTGCACTTCTGATGATTTGGTAGAAATCAATGGTAACTGTGGTGTAGATGCTTGTCTAATTAATTCTGGACCACTTGTTGGAACGACGAAAGTATCGTTTTTACTAGTGTAAGGCATACTGCAGGATATTGAACGTGATAATGATTTATGAGCACGTGCTCTAGAACTACTTGCTTGTAAATTACTTCTCGAGCGTGGTACAGGCGTATTTCGCGGTGAAACAAATGGACTAGCATTCGCAGAATTAGATTTGGAAGCGCGACCATTAATGGGCGAGTGCGGACCTGGCGATATTGGTGTAAAATTAAATATTCTACGACGCGTATTTGGACTTTGCGGTACCGTGTTAGCGATAACGTTCGTATCTTGCACATGTTCTACAACATTTGTTTCAAAACTGACCCTACGCCTGGTATTACTTTGATTTGAATGATTTAACAACGTTGGTAATATCAAGTTATGTTTTTGAGTAACTTCACGTTTTTCAATGTTCTGCCTGATAATAGCAGCGGGTAGTATATCAACGGGTGCATGCATAGTTCCTGCTTTTAAATTCTGTTGCAATATTAGTCTTAGTTGCGATACTTTATCAGATCTTGATATTTGTTCATCAATAGCAATAGCGTTGGCTTCCATATCCGAACTCGACGAGCTACTTTGTTGAAAATACTGTAATAATTCCTCTTCCTGCTCTTGGGAATTGTTACCTCCATTTAAATAATCATCTAAAGCGTCTGAATCGATCGAACAAAGCTTTTCAGTTTTACCTATGAGATTTGAATTTTCTTGCAATAAACGAATCTGATCTTTTGTTAAGATTGTAGATTCTTCTGTTGTGTTCAAACTAGGATCAAAACTGTTAGGGCAACCATTTACTTTAACGCAACTTTTCGAACATGTTGATGTTTCGATATCACAGTTTTTAGGAGGCTGGTTACTAACAGCCTCGTTTACTTTGCACTTGGTAGGCTTCAAATTACCAGCTAGTATCACCGAGATTTTCTCGGGACGTTGTATAGATGTAAGCTTAGGCAACAACACATTGGAATGCTCTACATTCTCTTGCATTTGCTGTTCTGTAAGTTTTGTTTGTTTCTCAGGGCTGGTATCTGATGGCTGATTCAACACAATTGGATTGGCACGCTTTCTGGAATTTTTAGGTTTGACATCTCTCTGTGTATTTACGCAGTTGGTCATCACTACACTAGGGTTGCTATTATTCTGTACGTCTTCAATCGATTGTACCACTATATTATCACAGTTGGATTCCAGGGGGATGTTACATGGCTGACTACTAGCTTTAAGAACTTTCTTCTGCCGACTGGTCACTACAGCAGATAAACTGAACTTAGTTAATGTGTTCTGCCCACTCGATACATTTGTACCTTGAGATGATTGATTGGATTTAGTTTTCTTATTTCCCTTGTTTGCCCCAGTTTTATTTTCAACAGTCTTCTCTTTGTTCTGATTCTGAAACATTATTTACACGCGTTACGAAAATTTAGCTAATATCACTTTTTATTTTTTCGTGTATAAAAATTAAATACACTTTATTATATTACTTCATTAAAACATTTTGTACCTGCATGACAGTATCAAGATGACGATGCTTTTGATCCCTTATGTGTTCTCGCTGCTGTAATTTTCGTTGCAATTGTAACTGTGCTTCTCTGAGTTTCCCAGATTTTCCAGTTAGAGGTGTTACACGCAAATCTGTAGTTGATTCTAAATATATAAATATTATTCTTAACCCACTTGTAATAAAATTATTTTTAAAATGGACAAAAATTAACAAACCTTTATTTGTCGATGTATTAGAATCTTCTGAAGTACACAATATGCATACAGCAGCCAGAGATCCAGTATCAACACAAAGATTATTATCAACAAGATGACGTGCTAAGGCACTCAAAGTTGGAAATTTCAAGCCCAACAGTCTTTCTGCCCATTCTCTGATCAATGTAGATGCAGCTCCCAACATTTCATTGGTAATATTCTCATCTACATCGTCGCTCTGAAAGATCGAACAATTAAAATAAAAATAATTAATGTTACTAAAGAAATTAACTTTAAATTATATTATTTTCAGAAAATATCAAACGAGACTCAATTTTAGTGTAAAAACGAACGATTAAATTGTTTAAAACATTTCAAATTCAATCATATATCTCACAGTTTGAGTTCCTGTTATGTTAGGCAATGTTGGAGGATCCAATTTAACTCTTTTGCGCATTCCAGCATAACAGTAACGTGAATTGCCCCGTGTGCCTAGTCTGCGTGGTCGAACTCGTGGATATACTTGCTTCATCACTTTTCCAAAATCAGCGGTTGATAAGGGTTTCATAGAATTCCGCATACAGTACATACTGCAAATAAATTAAAATGACAAATTACAACATGTTTTATGATATAATTTGTTGTCAAGGATACAAAGTAGTTTTAAAACGAAAGTTGTTATTTTGTGATCTAATGTGATCATACTAAATTTGTATTTCCTCATAAATTTATGACAAATTAATATATAAATCTATATAAGCTTTAAAACATGCAAGATTTAAAACTCTTACTTATATTCATCATACACTTCTTGTTTTGGTAAAGAGACATCAGGATCTTCTTCCAAATGTGTCTTAATCCACATGATAGTTTGATGAATTTCATAGCGATTTCCTAATGGATTTAATGGTTGTCTCAAAGGATCAACAGTTCCCCCAGTATTAGTCAATGATAATGGAAGTTTCAGGTACAATAATAATTTTTCTTCTATTTTGAGTTGTTCAATTTGTGAAAAGATATCCTGAATGCGTGTTTTTGATTCTTCACTATGTACAAAAATCAATATAAAATTAGTATAAATGATATATACAACATCTATCAAATAAAAAGATATTTCAAATCTAAGACATTGAAAAGTATGCGTAACTTTTTTTTAATTTTGAAAACGTTAGAAATATAATGCATTAATATTTTAGTGTTACAAAACTTCAACAAGTAACAAATAAATGAAAATCTCTTGCATGTATAAGACATCTTACCCGATATTATTATCCAATATATCTGCTCTATTTTTAGAATTACAAAAAACTGTTTCCTATGGAAGTTATATAATTTTGTAGAAGATACGGTACAATAGGAACAGTTTCACTTCACACGAGATAATCTTCATTAAGATTACCTTAAACTCTTTACATGCAATGTTATATTTTTTTGATCAATCGATAATATGAACATTCACTGTGGATTCAACGATTTATAATTCAAGTTCACTCAAGGCAGAAATTATCTATGTAATTTATTGCGTTCATAATAAGAACCGCTTCATTTATTTGGACATTACATTCTTTATTATAACTCGATTTAAATATAAAAGTTATATAAACATTCAAGGAACATTCAAATCTGTTTTTCTTAGATTCTATAAAATTTAAATGACTAGTTTTAAATACTGCCAAAATAGTTAAAAAATGGGTATTGTATAATGATCCACGCGTGTTGCCATATCTACTGTAAAGTCTCAATTTAAACCCTATTGAACATTTATGAGACAAAGTAGAAAGATGATTAAGAAATACAGTTATTGCTTCAATAGAAGCATAAAAATGAAATATTATTTAAGTATGATACTTAATAGATGCAAATGTTACTTTTAAGTTAGCCCACTCAATGGAAAACAAACTTAGAGCTGTTATAAAAGCAAATAGTAGGCCAACTTATTATTCAAACTTTCAATTATTTAATTTAAACAACTATTAAATGTTCTGTTCAAACACTTTTGTGAACCACTTCTGGTACATGTTTACAATAAATATATTATAAAAACGGTATACATTTGTCTAATTACTTTCTAATTTCTTTTATGTGGTCTTAGGACTCATCTCTTGTTATAGATGTTATAGATGTCATATCATATCAAATGCTTCAATTTGATATACATATTTCATTAGCTGAATGTTATAAATGTAAGCGTTCGAATACTTTCGTGTATGAGTATATGTGTATGCGTGTGTACGCGAGTGAACGAAAAAGTTGAATTAACCTGATGCTATCTTCGATCATGAGCCGAATTTTATCGTGCTTGGCAGCTGTGCCATGATTCGCCAGGGCCGTGAACTTGGCCGCGATGATATCTTGAAGTAGGTCGCCGTCGTGGAAACCGTTCGAAAATCTACCGGCAGCCGGTCGCTGGCTCGGTTGCACTTGCTTGTTATTATCGTTAACGCCGGCATTAATGCTGCCATCACCGTTCTCGAGGGAAACGTCAGTTCGTTCCTTCTTGATTCGCCTGCCATCGAACGCGCTTTCGTCGGCGTTAAGCTCGATTCTTGCGGGTAGCTTACTGACGCAGGGCTTCGATTGATCATGGTTATCAGTACTCATCGTACCCCGTCACCGGAGGCGTTTCAATTACGTATGTAAAAATGTATCACCTCCCGTGGGACGCGAGTGCCCTACCATTTTGTCAGAGTCAGCTGGACTACTTGTTAACATTGCACTCCCGGTAATTATACATGAGCGCCATTCGAGACCCTCCACTCGCGCGGACCGACAACTTGCCGAATCGCATACAATATAAGAATAACCGCGAATCCGTCATGCCGATTTTGCGCGCAACGTTTTACTTGCGCTTTTTGACATAGTTAATTTTGGCGGAATGCACTTATGCACGACCCATGACGAACTTAAAATCCAGGATTAGTGGACGGTCTACTAGGCACGAAAATCCGAGATGTTTGCGCGTTCTTCGATCGTCATAGATCTTGCGCTTCGTCTTATGGGAACATCGCTTCGTATCGCTTTCTCTGACGTGTCATGGTCGCGTTCTCATTAAATCCACAGTTTCTCCAAAATCGTCAATCATTGGAGAATTTCTTTTATATTATCACAGCTGAGTCGGCTGTGATATTACTTAACCACGTATATACAATCTAACAACTATAAAACAAACGGGAATATTTTATATACGCTAAAATAATAATATCGTAACATTAACGAATTTGACAACGAACCATAATATTAAAAACAATTTTTGATAAATTAGAAAAAGAATATATGTTTCGTTCGTTGTAATTTGTCAACGGCAAATTAAAATATATTTATATGATATAATAATATACGGAGTAATATCATTCGTTAATATCTACATGTGTGACTTCAAACAAAAATGTTCTTACGAACTGTAAGAAACGCATTAACAAAAATAAAATATGAATTTAACCATAATTGCAAATAACTTCTATGTAAAAAAATAATTATCAGAACTTTTTATGAACGAACAACAATATTACCTATAGGGTGCTTATAGCATTCTAGTAATATTTCGTATTTTATATTAGCAATATTTCATCTACAAAGTTATTTGTTATGTGATCCGGTGATCGAGATCACAGCCGACTCTAGTACTTACTAGCCGTGCTGAAGGTAAAATGGCAACACCGCGGGAGTCCGGCTTCGATATACCTAGCCCAACCTACCGTAACAGCCACCCAGCCTCCCACTACCCACCGGCCTCTGGGCTACATAGGCTCCATCTACCGGCCTTCCGGCCTTCCGGTCTCCCGCCGATCTTTCAAATGTTTCAAATATTAATGTACTGAAGTCCATTAAATGTGAGCAACGGAGCAATAATCCAGGTGTTTCATTTATTTATATTAACTCTACAGATCCTGATTTTGGTGTGTAGCACACTTATTTAATATAATCTATAGCATTTTTGGACATTTTGTTTTATATACATTTTTTTTTATAAATTTCACATATTCATTAATAATGCCACGGCGTTGCTGTGTTCCCAATTGCAAGGGAAATTATGATAGTACCTTAAAAGATAATAATTACAATTCTATATTTTTATTCCCCAAAGATGAGGAATTGCGGGAGAAATGGAGGGTTGCTATTCCTCGTAAGAATTGGACACCATCAAAATATTCTGCCGTCTGTAGTTTGCATTTTGCAGAAACTGATATTGAAAGGTACCACGGTATGAGAATGTTTTGTTGAGATGTCCAAGGCTTATAAGGAATGTAGTACCCTCCATTTTCCCCAATTTACCTTATTTTACAAAACGTGTGCTACCACCAAGAAAAGCTCCTGCAGAGCGTGAACAAGAAATCCTCCAACGACGTCACAATTTAGTCCAAGAATTTACTAATTCAGATTTGATTAGTAATTTCGCGGATTTAATAAATAATTATAAAGAAAAGCTTGCAATTTTAAACTGTTGCACTATTAAAATAACAAATTCAAAATTTTATTTTTGCATGCTTGTAAGTAATGATGAATCTGATTTTTTGGTACTAAATACACAGATTGTGATTAGTGACGACATGAAATTACAAGTTTTTCAAGAAAGTAATGAAGTATCATTTAATGATTTAAAGTGGGTACTACCTATTGACAAGAAATTGTCTAGGTGGTCCCAGCTTCAGAATATATTAACTAGATATAAAGTATTACAATAGATATAGGTCATGCACCATTATTATGGCCTTCTCATTATATAGCCAATCGTCGGCTGCATACAATTTATTAAGAAATTTTTTTATTTTACCTCATAAACGGTATTTACAATATCTTTCAGCCAATATGACCATTACACCAGATAATGATATAACAAATGAACATTATCTTATTAATATATCATCCAATTTAACATCTAGAGAAAAAGTAGTGATTTTATTAATTGATGAAATTTATATTAGTTCAAAATTACAGTACAAATCAAACAGACTTGCGGGTTCCGCTTCAAATTCTAACGAATTGGCAAAAACCATTTTAGCTTTTATATGTTCAGCTTTTGGAAATTTTTCTGAAATTATTAAATTATTACCAGTTTTCAATATTACCGGGGCTGAAATGACACCCATTGTTTATAAAATTATAGAATTTGTCCAAAAATGTGGTTTCGAAATAATATGCATTGTAGCAGATAATCATAGAATCAATAGAAATATGTTTAATAAATTATCTAATAATGGTATAAGTTTTCCTAATCCTTCACAATCTAATAAAACCATTTTTCTTTCTTTCGACTTTGTTCATATAATGAAAAATATTAGAAATAATTGGTCAAATTTAAAAAATGTAGATAAAACTTTCGTTTTCCCCGACATTTATACAAACGAACTAAGATTAGCTAAGTTTAATGATTTACGTACGGTTTACGATTTCGAAAAACATTTAATTGCTAAGAAAGCTTATAAATTAAACTATAAGTCACTGTATCCAAATAATTTTGACCGACAAAACGTTTTCCTCGTTGATAATATATTCCATCAGTCTACAATAGCAGCTATGAAAGATTTCAATTATACCGCTACTGCTCATTTTTTACAAATATTTCGCAATTGGTGGGACATTGTGAACAATACAAGTAGTATAAAAGGTAACAGGAAAAGAAACGAATTTTGTAAACCGATTTTGAATGTGAATTTTTAAAGAAATTTCTAATATGGTTAAATTCTTGGCAAAATTTGCAGACAAATGGCCATTTAACAGTAGATACTTTCAAAGCTCTGCACCAAAGTACTACAGTTCTTTTACTACTTACAGAGTACTGTTTTCAAAATTTTGATATATCGTATCTTTTGGCTGGAAAATTTACAACCGAAAAATTAGAAAAACGATTTGGAAATTATAGACTTTTATCTGGTTGTAATTATCATGTGTCATATAACGAAATAATTCATGCAGAAAAAAAATTAGATTAAAACATATATTTACAAAATCGGCAAATTCGTTTTCTCTTACTGAAATCAAAAATAAATTTCGAATTTGTGATGACAATAATAACGATCTTCATGATCTTCCCACTGATGTGACTTGTTTCTCAGGAATCTTCGATACCGAATACTTGTCCGATTGTGTTGCAGATGATTCCATTAAAATTTATATTTCTGGTTATGGGTCCCATTCTGTTGCTAAAAAATTAAATTGCAATATATGTCGTTTATTAGTTGTGGAGGATAAAGGTAAAACTGTAGGCGATGTATATTTTGATCACTTACAAAGAGGGGGCCTTTCTGTCCCCACTGAAGAAGCGATAGCCTCATTTATTCATATGTATGCAATAATGGAAGCCATAATAAATGATGGCAATTTAGAATCTCAATTTTTGCAATCTGGAAATCATAAACATATTTTATGTAAATTAACATATATTAGCATTCAATCAGACATACATTATTTAGCATTTTCAGATACATGCGTTTGTGGTCGAGCTTACCAAAGTATTTGGTTTAAATTATTATCAATTTTTTCAAATATTTTATTAAACGATTATGTGAAAACTGTAAATAATAGTCAGTTGGAAACACGTACAGACATCACTTCTAAAAATCGTAAATTAAAAACTTTTAATAGGAACTAGATTTTCAATGATTTTTTTTAATTTCATCTTTCTTAAAACATTAATTTTTATATATATTTAACTTATTCCTTTCAATATGTTTTAATACATTAATAGAGTTTTATTTACTTGCTTAGTATATTTTTATTATGAATACTATTTCACAAGATTCAAAGTTTTATTAGTTGTATTTCAAGAGAATTTCAAAGTATGTTTTGATATGTTTTGTTATTAATATTATTCAAAATTATTTATTATTATTTCAAAATGTAATACTTTATTTCTTTAAGAATACAAAAGTTATGTTTTTGTTATGTTCTATTTAAAAATATTAATTTTATTTTAGAAAATGGGATGATATGGCTATTGGCGAACCACCCATTATAATAAAAAAAAAAGGTAACGCGCCATGGTAAATACCCCTAGGGTGGTGAGGAAATTTTTCACAATTATCATACTGTCCTCTAACACGATTTTATAATTAACTCCATAATTGTTCCTTTCAATAGCTAATTATGCTAACCTCTTTTCCACGGGCACTTAACCTGTTTGGCTTCGTACCAATAATTTTGCCTATTTCAGGTCTCTATTAACTTATACATACCTTTATCAATTTTTAAATCCTTCAGTTTGGTTCAAAGATGGTTTTAACTTGTTTCACACTTCTATTTTCTTGAAATCTCTGTAAATATTTCAAATATAATGCATCACAACACCAAACTATTCCGACAGTCCACAAAATATATACCGCATTTATAAATATTAATATACTTCTGTATTACTTCTACTTACTATAGTTATGATATTCATATATTCCTTATACATAATTAATAAAAAATACTGTATATTAGTATAATTTTATATCGCAAAATAACGTTAATTATAATCCTGAACACAAAACTCCGCTATTGAAAATAGGACTCCCGATCCGCACATGAGCGGTGTTGCCACGTTCCATAAAACGGCTAGTAAGTACTAGAGTCGGCTGTGGTGACGTGCTTAACCAATGCACCAGCACCTTGCTTAGAAATCGGTGTTGTTTGGCCAAAATTGAAATCGTACTTATATCGATTTTTTTCGACACAAATTTATTGAATTCTTTTTATTAATTGGATAAATAAATCATCGTCTGAAAAAAATGGAACGCCTACAGATACAGAGAAATTGTTGACTCGTGTACTTTGAAGAACTTACCACATATGCTTTTATGTATATAATATCACTAATAAGCAATACTTTAGTTGAAAAGATATTTTCTTTAATAATTTGTGTCAAAACAATTTTTCCTTTTCAGTTTATTTCATCTACTTTGTTTCGTACGTGTGTAGTGTATATTTCAGCTTTACTTATATAATTTAATTTGCGTTTGTATAGTTTAGTTCCTTAAATATATACTCGTTTATAATGTAACCACAAATACTGGCGTATTTAATTGATGCCCTTTCTATATTTAATAACTTTATGGTTACGGTTTGGGTTAGAACTAAGATTTTAAATTGGTAACACTGGTAAGAATGATACGTGTTAAAAAGCAACATTTGTCGAAAGATAACAAAACACGATTAAAAATTTATAACAATCATGAGTACAAAAGAAGTTGTTAGCTTCACAGATTTAGGTAAACATAACGTAATAATTTATGCATAATTAATGCTATTGATTAAAATGATTATCAATGACAATCTTTGCACAGGTGTCAGCTCCAAGATAAATTTGTCAATTGTCAATTATTACATTGTAATAAAGAATGTCTTCATTTTTGAATATGAGTTTGCAGATTTGTTAATTTTTAAATTATTAAACAGCTATTATATGACATTGATAGTTTTTTTTTTAATTTTATTAATGTCTGACTTATAAATATTTGTTTTCCAGAACCGCATATTCAAAATCTGATAAAAGAAAGCGTTGCGGTTCGTGAACAGTCTTATTCACCCTATAGTAAATTCAAAGTTGGAGCTGCAATACTTTGCAACGACGGGTTCATTTCCACGGGATGCAATGTAGAGAATGTATCTTATCCTGTTGGCATATGCGCTGAAACAGCGGCTATTGCGAAAGCAATATCAGAAGGAAAAAGAAAGTTCAAAGCTTTGGCCGTAGTAGGCAACAAAGACAAGGATAATTTTATCACACCGTGCGGTTTGTGTAGACAAGCTATGGCAGAGTTTGGCGATATATCAGTTTATTTGTCAGAACCTGAAATGAAAAGTGCATTACGAACTACAGTAAGCAGTCTATTACCTCTTGCTTTTAATAATTTCTAAGGTATCTGTTTTATATTTTAATCTTTGCTAAAAATAAAGATTAAACTTTCAAAGAGACTTTAATACAATGCAATACTGAATTAATCCCTTCCTGTATAAAATTATGTAGAGCTAATATTTGGGTATTTACAAAATATTTATAAAATATTGAATTTAAGTTTTCATTGTATTAAAACTTTCATGAAAATCTTCAGTGGTCGGCGATAGTTTTTATATGAAATGTGCATTTTATATGAAATCATCATTATTAAATGCTGATAGTTTAAAAATTTTACTATTTATGGAATCGATCAACTACTGGGGATGGTTCAACTACCTTAATTGAAACATTAGTTTCTATACAAGTTTTAATAAATATAAAGACAGCCCTTAATGGAAAATTATTGTTACAACAGTACTCTTATTCTTTTGAGGGGGTTTTTTTCATGTTTACATAACAAAAAGAAACCTATGACTGCAATCGATTATTATGCAGTTTCTAAAGTGTGTTGTTTTCTAATATACATTGTACTTAGAAAGCAAAAGTAACATGAGTTTTATATACAATTAATGTGATAATATAGTTTATATATATACATGCTCAAATATTGTAATATTGGGTGTAATTATTTTTTAGCAATAAAAAGGCAAAAAACAGAAACGAAACTGCATATGGTACATACACATCCAAGATCTCCTAAATGGAAAACTTAGATTTACCAGAAGGGACACCTGTAAATTAAATACAATTTTATTAGAGAACTTAGTAAAAAATCTATTATTTGTGCTGTGGTATTTTATAAACGAAATAACTTTTTCAGTTTCATTGAGTTTGGAAATATTATAAAAAGATTAATTACCATCCAATATAACATTGGCATAAATTCTCATTATTGGTAGCTTGCTGGATTAAAAGGTCAACTTGGCGTTGGACGCTTAATGTCTCTTCGTGAGAGAAGTCACGTCCTGTTAATTTGTCCCTTACTCTTGTTATGATAGCAAGAGCTTTCTTGTTCAATGCTTCTGGTTGATTAGTGTCGCCTGTTTAAAGATAAAATTCACTTCATTTGTAATAATTATTTTATTCGATAGACAAAGTAAAATAAACTTTAAGTTCACCTCCATTCTCGACGCTACACGGTACTCCTTTCTTTGGTAATGTAGCGGTAAGAGAATCTAATGTGTCGCTATGCTCTTGATTGCTACTAGCACTCATACTTTGAGCATCGGACCTTTTACTTTTCGGCGTAGCATTATCCATTAATCTCCAATTTAAAAGGGGATCATAGACGAATGCTTCCAACACCGCCATTAAGCTGTCTTTGTTACGATGTAACACTGACATTACTGACTCGCAAGTTCTTCTGTACGTGCCTTCAATTCCCGTCACTTCCATTGCGTTAATCAACATTCGTGTCAATCGAAACGGTATCTTTTCTGGAAATTTCTCACGAGTCATAGCCACTTCAAAGCAGTCTCCGAAGTCAATGTGTAATATTTTTCCGCTTAAACGATCCAACATCAAATTCGATGGATGTCGATCCCCAAGACCAAGAATGTATCCGACCATAGACATTACGGCAAGAGATCGTGTATAATTCGTTCTACGATCGAACCATACCTCGCTCGATGGCGATTTTAGCCAAAGAAGTCGCGACAAATCGTCACCGTGCGTATGCTCGAGAGCGTGTTCGAATACTTCAACCTTTTGCATAAGCATAAGGTGGTCGTAACCTGGTGCCATCTAAATGTCATTGTTCAGTTAAATCACACCATCAACATGAAATTTTATCACGTAGGCTATTTTAGATACTTACCCGTAACATAATTTTATGTTCTATGTTAAGTAATATTTTTTTTTTTTCTCTGTAATCTCTGATTAACGTGTGCAATGTATCGCAATGTGGTACCCAACCGATCAATCCACTGTTCGTAGACAATGGAATTACGGCGTATCTCTGATTGAAACATTTATTCAATAAGATATGTGTTATGTCGTAAAATTATTGGAAATCTACTATTCTTTAACATACTAACTTGAATAGTAAGATTTCTTCTGAATGTGTCTGGATCGTGCAATAGGAGGGTGTTGACAAGTCCAAATAATTGCATTACACGTTCATCTTGCCTGAGATCTTCATGCCCTTTCAAGAGAAACATATAATCTTTACCGTTGCTACCTACAAACGTAGAAATTAGAAATTATATATTAAACTTTACGTATTAAAATATACAGTAGTTTTACCGACCTTTTATACACAATTTTCGTGGTCGCTGTTTGCTTGTTATTACTTGCATAGAGCTATGTATACTCGCTATTCTGACTATTGACTGTCCAGGACTGTAACTTCCCGGTACAGCTAGTTCTAAATCCCTGCAAAGAAGCAACTTTGGACTAACATACTGAAGCTCTAAACTAGTTAACTGTGGCAATTGTCGTGATATCCTCCTGAAGACATGGTAATATAAATCCCAGGCTTGGTTTAAATCACGAACGTTACACGACGCTTTGTATCTGTGACACCATTCTTGCGCTTCCATTAAATCTCTGCCGTAAGCTTGATTGAAGGATGTTTCTTTTAAAGTTTGCGGACCTCTTTCCAGCATTGCATGTAGAGGTTCCAACGTATCAAACATTCCTTGCACGTTTCTTTCTCCAAAGTATAATCTACTGGCTTCTTCCAGTCCTTCGTGCCAGAGTTCGTGCCAAAGGATCGCAACTCTGATCAATTCGTCGCTAGCCATCATTGCTTGTTGCACCAACGTCGGGCTATGTTCGCACATGCTCTTAAGAATTTTATTCGCGGCTGTTTTTCTAGCATGGCTGGCACTTTTCGACGCCACAGTCAAGGGGTAAACTAAAGCCTGTGGATGCGTTTTACCAATATCTATTAAAAGATGATGTATACATCGGCCGACCAGAGCCCTAGGCGTATCTATCCTTGCTATAAGTTGTGGAATCACTTGTAGCCAGGTATTGATCTCGATTAATCGGATGCCTTCGACGATGGCTTCGTATACTTCTGGCCATTGACCGTAATCGAACCATAATGTCAGTAACCGAAGAGTATCTTGTAACGAATTACCGTGAGAGAGATTAATGGACCTGAAAAATCCTTCTACCGCTGGTACGGTGAATTTTGATATATACTGCGAACTAGAGAGATTACTGCGCGTTCCATTTCCCGGAGTAGATTCGGCGTTTGAATCGCCCTGTTGGTGCTTGTAAAATAAAACAGTTTCGAAATTAGTGTACGCGAAGGCGTGCCACGCTTTATACCAAGTTGGATCGTGTTCCGTAGCCGCAGCATAATAAGATAAAACTGCTGGTATAGAGTGTTCGTTTATGCCCTGTAGGGCTTCTAACCATTCCCCAAGCTTCAGATAACATCTGGCCAGTAGTCTTTTTCTTGCTTCTTGTTGTTTCTCGTCCTCCTGATTTATCGCTGACACGGTAGTCGGTTGTAGAGACATTTGTACAAATTTTTGGAGTTGACTATATGCCTCTTCACGTTTATTAGCAACCCACATATGTTTGCAATAAGCAAACGTTACTTGAGGATGGGTCGTTGATAAGGGCTGATCAGGAGTCAGCAATGGATCGGATCCGAGTAGCATAACTAATGTTTTGTGACACAACATTAAGCTGCCACTCTTTCTACAAAGACTCGCATACTTTAACCACGTATACATGTCGTCCTGAGGCGAAACTACCAACGTATGGACCTGTATAATTTTTTGCCAGTCTTCGACTATTCTTTGCCCACCTTGAAGCCTCTCCCACCACATAGACTTGATAGTAGATCTTCTTTCCGGGACCAGCTTAAATTGTATCACTTCTTCCAATTCTGCTAACTTTTGAACCTCTACCATGGCGTTGTAAGCTCTTTGATAACTTTCACCCGCCATAGCAGTTAATTCCGTGTCTAATAAATCTCTAGCGCTGTCGATGAGCTCGTGAGCAACGGTGTACTGTTCATCGTGGATTGCCAAAACGGCTCGATAAAAGGCACCGTCCTGGCTATCTTTCGGTATCAACGAGACATATTTTTCCATGCTCTCCCATTGACTTAAACCCCATGCTGCAGCCGCTGCCATTCTAGACATCCTTTGCTTGGTTTCGTCGCTATGATCTGACCATTGTTTGGTAGCAACGTCATGTAACTGTCCCCATTCTCCGAGCGCTTCCAAACATCGCATTTCGCCCAAAGTCGATTCCACATCCTCAGGATCGCCTTCCAATCTTTCTCTGTACAATTGTAACGCCTTGTCCCAATTATGCAGTTTCTCGTACCAACGAACTTGCACTTTTAGATCTTGTTGATTATTCTGATTCATAACGTACTCCAACAGACCCTCGGCAGCTTCCTTTTGTTGAAGTTTATTATTGATAGAAATCAAAGATTCGAAAACGTTACTGTTTCTGCTTTTATGAAATTCATCCTCTTTGTAATGTAGAGCTTTCGCGTAAGCTCTACAGTGCATTGCTCGTTCACCTAAAATCTTATTGTCCAACGGTAACGGCCCTTTATCGCAATGTTCCATAAACTCTGCTAGGTTTAAAATCGTTTGCGTTATCTCTGGAAGGTCTGGAACCATTAGTGCTTGCTGTAGAGTTTGTATAAGTTCTGCTTTATATGTATCGTCCAGTTCGGTCCAGCAAGAAACAAACGCTGCATTAAATAAATCTCTAGGTAACTGGGAATAGGTCTGTGCAAGGGCCCAGCAAGATCTTAACGCAGGCGACGGTGATTCTTTGAGTAAACCGATCGATAAACTTCTTAGCCATTCCAGCCAATCGTCTTTCGAAACTCTTCTTGTCGCTGTCCAAGCTTTTTGTAGATTCGAAGCAGACACGTGTAATCTTTTTATCGTAGTCGTGTCCGACGGTCCTACAGACGTGTCACGATTCCTATTTCTCGAATGCCGGTGTCTCATTAATAAAAAGTCTTCGCCATCAGCCACGGTAGTTTCTGTTAAAATTTTATCGATTAGAACGTCGTATCGCGCATTAACAATTTTATGTTTCGTCATAACTTTCTGTACCAGTGAAATAAAGATTTGATATTTTTTCCCCAGTTGAATTACTAGCGCGCACAATGTATCCATTGCCGTACTACGTAACTCTGGACATTGATCTAAGGTTCGTACCAAAGGATGTACAATTCTGGATGCAAAGTCTGTGAAGTCCAGTGTATCTGCCAAATGATCAACAGTTTCTAGAGCCACTCTGTTCACTGTTAACGGACAATCGGTAGTATGAAATAATTTTACGATCGGTGGCAACACCAGATGAAGATAATTGTCTAAATTATTCCCAAATTTCTGGAGCGCTTCAAGAAGTTTCACTGTCACCGATCTATCTTTGCTCGTGTCATGTGTTAAAACTCTTAATATTTGTGGCATTACCTGCGGTAAATAAATCTTAAACTCCGCGCCCAATGCAACCGCAATATGTTCGACTAAATGTATTAGCGTACTTTGTAACGGACTGTTCACGGTCCAGAATTCTTTGATCAGATTGAATATATCGTCCAAATAATTTCTAATATGCTGTTTCACAATGGCGATAAGAATAGCCAGTTGTTGGAACAGATACTCGCGAAAATTAACATCAGCCATACGCACTACGTTGAGGAAACTTGGCATCACTTGAGAAATGTATGGCACGCATTTAATTCCTAAACTTTTAAATATAAAAGTTACTGCCTGAACTACCATAGTATGGTGTTGCGATAATGTTGGGTCGCGAATGATTCTCATAAGTGTTGCTATGGCGATCGCCGGATAATATTCTTCTAAAGTGGACGAAGACATGTTCACTAACATTTCACTGGTCGTTAAGTCTTGGGTATTTTCAGTATCGCTTTTAGTGTCGGCCATAGATGTAAGAGTATCCAATTGAGAATCTATTTGACCAAGATTCATCTTATGTTTGTATGGGTCTAAAGCACCTAACAATCCAAGCACTCTTATAGTTTCCCTCCTGATAACAGGTTGTTGTTCGGTCTTTAAAAAGTTTATCAACACATCCAATAACGAAGGATATTGCATGTATGGCTTTACAACGTGTCCCGTACTTCCGACTAGTTGACCGAGGACCCACAAAGCAACTCCCCTTTTCTCTGGAGAACTAGCATCTACTAGCATCTCGAGCAATATAGATAAAAGTTCAGGCATCCATTGTTGCATTTCGGCACCATTTACTTCTGCTAGATCACCAATAGCGCGCAGTATAGCTAAAATCACGCCAGGGTTTGATTCATGTTCCTTCAATTTTGGAACAAGAACTTTTAAAATCGGTTCCATGTACGGCCTTATGAGTCTTGGCGCGCTAACAACCAAATGATCTAACATACGGGCTGCTTGCTCTTTGTTACGACCCATACCCGAATGTTCTAATTCCATTAGGAATTGTATGAGGGTTTTACGCAAAGAAGGCATAACGTAAGCTGGATTCATCGTGCTCAGTCGTCCGATTGTGCGAATTGCAAACTCCCTTATTTCAAACATTTCGTCATTCATCGCAATGAATAATGCAGAAAGATTTTCCGCTTGTGCTAAATGAATATCAAAGGAATCATCCAAGGAGGCTAAAACCCAGAGTCTCACGTCAGGATCTGTATCTGTAATACCTACAACAACCAATTTTCCTAGAACTGTGGAGACCGTATTGGTTACAGTACGTCCTGGTTGATTTAATGCCAATCGTAATAATCTTGAACATGTTCTTACAGCTTCTAACCGAACTTCTGCCTGTTCAAACGTAAGGAAATGATCTGCGCACTGCTTCACAAATTGTAAAAGCGGATTACCGTCGAAATTAAATGTTCCAAGAGTTTTCAATGCTAGAACCGTGGATGGAATATCAACCTCTGCAGGTGGAGCAGAAATTGGACTCGTCGCAGTCCACGGTGCGCCGGGATGTCTTAAAGGCTTCTGCATCAAAACTTGAGATAACATTCTCAGAAGTCCTTGAGATATATCCGGTTTCAACGACGGGACACTATGAGCCAATTCTCTAAGAGAAGTTGTAAGAATTGGGCTTAATCCAGTCGTTAACATAGATTCTAATATATCTCTGACATCCGCGGTTATAACTTGTTTCACCGCGTGTCCGAGCAGAGTTATACAAACGAAAACTGCAGGTTCTAAGGAAGTACTCCGTTTCTTGGTAGATGTTTCTTTAGATGGTAATAAACTTTTAATCATTTCCATAATTTTCGGAATATAGGGATTTATCGAATCCTCTACCGCGACTGCTATAAATCCAATCGTAGTAAATGCAGCATACCTATCCTTTTCCCTGCTACGTAATGTCATTAAAAGATATGCCAATGATTCTCTTAAGTGGCCTTTTGTGAATTTTTCTTTATTGAACGCTGCCAGTCTTGGCAACAACATCATCAGAGCGTGCTGAATGTGCGGATTCCTAGACATTCTCTGATTCATTACATCGTTGTAGATATCGTCCAATCTTTCTTGCATCAAACAACGGCAAACTGCAGACTCGTGCGTTGGATGTAATATTTCATGAGAATTAGAAGAATTTTGAGAAGAGTTGGACCATTTTGATACTATGATTGTTTTTAATCGCGGCATTAACGACAGTATGTCATTTTCGTTCTGTTGCGTGGAGCAATTTAATCGATTCATTAAATTTTCATAATTCCTTTCCCACTGGACATTGCTACATCTAAGTAATTCGTTTAATATTAATAATGAACCATGTATTCTATCATCTCTATTAACTCCCCTTTCTCTGGTATATACTTCCTCAAATCCTGCTACTATTTCATCATAGCACTGTTTGTACCATTGAGACTTTTGCATTTGTTTTGCTGTCTCCCTCTGTGCTGTAACAACTAAAGCAGCCCGTAATGCTTCTACAGCACCTTCCCTTATCACAGGTTTTGGATCACGTATTGCATTAAATATAAGTTCAAAGAATGGAGTTACTTGTTGAAAAAAATATGTTGGCATGGACACAGCAAGTTCTCTTAAAACAAGAACAGCAGCATGTCTTTTACCTTCGTGTCTATCTCCACCAAGCCATTCAAAGGCACGCTTTACTTCAAATTCTACATATTCTGCTGTGTAAGTACCTGAAACCAGTGCTAACTTTCCAACAGTTTTAGCAGCTAGTTCCATAACACCCACATCGTTTGAAGGTAATAAATTTCTTAAGTAATTTGCAAACCTTATAGTGCGAGTGTTAATGTTGCCTACATCGGCTCCAATAAGGCATACTATGGCTAATATTCCACCCTTTTTTTCACTTACATCTGATCCGTTTACCATTTCAATTATGTGGTGATTAAACTCATCCATAAAAGCTGTAATTTCTTCTTGCGATACTTCGCGCAGCTCTGTTTTAACATATAGACACAGGTCTCTTGCCGCCTTGTTACGTGCCTCTTCATTTCTAGATTTAAGTCTTTGAACAAACTGTTGCACGAGCACACTCGACATTGTTATGAATTCACCACAGTATATTTTTGTACAGTTCTGTTCTTACCGATCTTCTTGCAACGATATCTGAAAAGAATAATAATTACGAATGTAGAGTAAGGTTAATAGAGATCATAAATTTACGTTAATTTTCCTATACCTGTTTGACATTACACGAATTTCATATAATAGTACAACATTTTTGTGATCGTCATTACTGCTTTAATCCCTTTATAGAATATAGTTTCAATGCGTCTCCATTATTATAAATCGACGTCTGTCACACAGATCCTTCATGTTTTGATACAATCACTATTTATTTACAGGTTAAACGACTTCCGGTTAAATTCTGCGTGTGTACGAATATACAATGCATGAATTAATTGATGTCATTGAGTCTGTAGCTTGTAGTAAATATAGAAAAATTAAGGTGCGTCTTTCAAGAACCAATTTTAAGTTTATAATTTCATCGTTACATAGTATATACGGTGCGCCCTGTTCTGCCCCATTGAATTGTGTACTTTAAAAGATTTCCCCTACTCTTCTCGATTGTATGCTTGCATAGTATACTAATCGTTACGTCTCAGACGTGAGATACACAGGCTTGAGATAGACCTGCGTGCAATGAAAATTAGTGTCTTGTTATATTCATTTATATTACTTTAGTATAGCACAGCTGATTTAGGAATTCAGTAAATTTCGTAACGTGACCAACTGTATGCACTATGGTTATTTGTAAATATTATCAGCAAGGCAATTGTCGCTATGGACAGTACTGTCAATTCGAACATATAAATACTTTCGGTAAGACAAGGCATTCGGAGCACAAATATTTATTTACAATATATGTTTTCTATTTTGACGTGAAAATCGTTCGTTTTGTAGACACTAATTCCAAAGTCAACAATTATAATGAAGACGAATATACGGCGTAAGTATTACAAAACTGTAAAATTGCATTAATTTTTAAATAATTTGATTGATATTTTACATTGAAATAAGGGTTGCGGTCGCGAAAGAGGTGCTCAGTGCTGAAAGAGGAGGACAATGGTTGCTATCATGTTTTGCACCACTGAAACAAAGACCTTGCATTCCTGGCATGGAAGATGTTTCTCCGGAAGAAGTGCGGTGGAGAATGTATCAGGCACAAAAGACTGGGACGGTGGAACAAGCGGTTTGCACATATAGCTGTTGACCTGTATTAAGTTATTACAATTGTCTGTAAATCATTCGGCTTTTATTTCTGTTTTTTAGAAACTGCATTTTCAACAGCTATGCCAAGACATGAAGGCTAAACGAGAAGCCTTAAAAAATCCTACTCTCGAGACAATAGCAATGCTGGTGAGTAAAATTTAATGAAAAATCTTGTTATATTTTTATAAAATTTATCTTTCTTTTTTAGAAAGAACTTCAAGGAACAGGTCAAAAAGGTAAATTAACCACAGGTGGAAATACAGCCAGAAAATCATCCAATTTTTCATTTGCAACTCCTCAACTAGGACTACCTGGCAATACTTCGGCTTCCAATGTCTTTGGAAATAAAACATTTGGAAATCAAAGCAACCCTTTCAGCGGAGGTTTTACTTCCCCGAGTACCACATCGATATTTGGACGGACAAATACAACTTCAAATTCTGTATTTGGCGGGACTCCATCTTTTGGCGGTGGTTTAGGCTGTTTTAGCGGCGGAACCAGTACTAGTTCCGTGTTTGGCGGAACCACGAATACCACTGGTGCTACAACCTTCAATTCAGGACAAAACGCGCAGTCTTTTGGAACGAACAGTTCAATTTTTGGCGCAGGAACCTCGCAGTCTGTCTTCGGACAGCCTAGCGTATTTGGAACATCCGGTCAAGTGAACAATGTTTTTGGTAGACCCCAAACGTCGCAGTCGGCAACATCGGCCTTTAACACCGGAGCAACGTCTTCTCAGTCGCTATTTAGCGGTGGCTCTGCCCCTCAACCAAACACGTCTCTATTCGGAGGAGCCAAAACCACTGCCAATCCATTCGGTGGTTCTCCGACGTTGCAGACTACGAACCCTCTCTTCGGGACGACCCCGTCGTCGGGGTCATTCAGTTCCGGAATATTTTCCCAACCAAAAACGGTACCTGCTTTCGGAAGGGCGCCCGTTTTTGGCGGCGGACCGAATTTTGGAACCGCAGCTGGTCAGGTATTCAGCGAACAACCGACGTTCGGTAGCTCTAGCAATATTTTTGGCGGACCCAGTACCACGACACCAACCTTCAGCTCCGCCGCTCAATCCGCAAACGCTTTCGGGGTTCCCGTATCCACGCCTGCCGCGAATTTATTCGGAAACGCTCAAAATTCCGCACCTGCTATATCCACGCCTAACGTATCTCCGTTCGGTGCAACCACACCTACGACTAGCACTCCTTTCGCCACTCCAACTTCACAGTTCGAAGCCACCAGCTCGACTGCTGGTCCTTTCTCAAGACCTACGTTTGGCATGACCACGGGGACCACCAGCGAAACTTTCGGCACTACTGTCACATCTTCTGGCACGTCGTTCAGCACCGCGACTACCGGAATCACGTTTGGGACGCCTAGCACCACGGCCCCACTTTTTACGCCGTCTACGTTCAGTGACTTGAAGAGTTCACCGTTCGCAACCACGAGCACTACAGTCACGACTACAACGACGAATCCGTTCGTTCCTAGAACACAACAGACCACCTCGCCGTTTGGCAATTTTGCTCAAAGCAATTCAGCTAATACGGTTACAGTATCTTCGACCGTACCGTTCGGAAAATCGTTGTTCGGTGCAACGATGATAACGGCTGTTATCGACGATAGTGTTTACTCGATAGAAGGTCAATTAACGGACGACGAGAAGAGCATGTATTTAGCGGAGAAATTTACCTTTGGCAAGATTCCGCTAAAGCCTCCTACCAAAGATATAAGGTGACTTAACATCGTGAGTGATTAATGGAACATATACATATGTGCTGTGATAATTTGTTTCCTATGCATACGCAACAAAGATCAATTTCACAGAACTATAATAATAATAATAATAATAAATAATATATTTGTTATCGATGCGTTTCAATTTTGTAAAGAACTTTATGAAAATGTCTCTTCTCTTAACAAACATGACGAAAATCGCCAACGTTGTAACATTGTAACAAAGTATTTAATAAAAACTAAGATTCATGTTGTTATAGCTTACCGTAAATTAATGCCCCATTCAATACTGCGATATGAAATCAAACGTATCTCAAAATATATATCAATCTCTTTTAATTTAATCAATTACACAGCTATTTACATATGTACAATTGTCGATTGGTCGATGACACGTTCCTCATTCATACTTACTTTATTATACATTCTTGTAATGTATTACTCCTGGAGGTGGCGGAGGGGGAGGAGGAGGAACACTATTAACAAATTGACTTCCTTCCGACACCTAGAAACAATACACACGTACAACTTTGATGTAAATAGAATATGGATGATTTTGCGTACGAGACAAACCTGTGGCAAATGGCAGAGGGGATTCGTTGGGTAATTGGTTCTCTGTACATATGCTGTAGATTGGTTTGGTGGCTGTGACAAACCCGACGGTATACCATTCGGTGGTTTATATCCAGTTATCTGAAGGAAAACATGAGTTACTCGATAAATTCCTACAGTTATCATCAATTTTCCTCCACAGTTGCTCGTTTATTACTGTTCATATTTTAACAGCTTCAGTTGCAAAAGTTTGTAGTAATATCACATATTACAGTCTACATTAAGGAGTTGTACCACCTTGATAACAAGTATCTTTATGAATTTAACAATATTTAAAAGATTGAACCTCGTGCAATATTATTATTTTTTAGTAGCTGTAAAGATGGCATAACTCTTCGAACGGAACACGAGTATAAAAATTTAAGAAAAAGGGTCCACATACTTTGTCGTTCATCTCAGGGAATATAGTGCTCAAATTGAAGTTTGTGAGACTGGTGCCCGAGGGATGATGACTCATGGTCATCGGGTTGCTCGAAACGATTCCTCCTCTTGGCATGTTTGGATTCATCGGAAAACCAGCCGTGGCTACGGTTGGTACGCCTTGCGGACCAGCCACTGAAGGCGGCGGTGGCAAACCGTTCACAGCTTTCGTATACACATTTGCCTGTGGATGGTTTTGATAAAGGGGGCTAGCATGCGGCGGCGGCGGCGGTGGTAAGAACGTGGCGGAATGATGATAATCTTCCAACGGCGAATTGACGCCAGAGAGAGGGAATTCCAAGTTCTGCATAGTCCCGTCCAGACCTTTTCTCTTCCCTTTTTTCGCGTTTGTGGAATACGTCCTTTTGTCACAGTTTTGGTGTTTCCCGTAGTGTTGGTGATTTTTCGTGTTGCTATTTACATTGGAAGTCGAGGTCGTCACGGTGGATGTGGTCGATGAAGCAGCAGTGGAAGAGGTTGCCACATTCGATAAAAGGAAAGCGTTTGCTTCCATATAATCGGTGTTATCGTGCAGTGGCATCATGTAACTGGTGGGAGTGTTCGATATGCTGGTTATAAAGTTCGACGTAGGATAGATATTTGTGTTCGAGGAGTACGTGTACGAGTTGAAGTTCTGATTGACCATCTGACCATAACCGCTTCCGTCGTCGGCATTTGAAAAGTAATTGATCGGCATAACTGTATCTGCGGTGGGCAGACTAGTTTGAAATTTGTTCTGTGGATAGTTAGTGGTGAACTTTATGGATGCGTGCTTGTCTTGGTTCGTGTCATGGACGCTGCTATTGGTTCCTATCAATGCTTCCGCGGTATAGTTGCTCTTGCAATTCCTGCTTCTCCAGTGTACATTATTCTGCTGATACTTTTGTTGCTGTTGCTGTTGCTGTTGCTGCTGCTGTTGTTGATAGCTCTGTTCAGAGAAGGTGTGACCAGAAGATTTTTGCTCTTCGTGCCTCTGATGTAACTGATCGTTACCGCTCGAGGTTTGTTTTCGAATGTCCATCTGCCGTTTACTATTTCCTCTAGGACTGGTATTACTTTTTCTTTGATGTTTCCTAGCCTGCTGTTGCTGTTGCTGCTGTTGTTGTTGTTGCTGCTGTTGATGCTGATGAGCATGGTGATGGTGATGGTGATGGTGATGATGTTGCTGATGGTGTTGTTGGTGAGACTTCTCAGCCTTCTCGTGTTCCACTAGTTGACTCACAGAGAGGAACGAGGATCCAGCTCCTGGGTGCTGAACAGTTTGGTTATTCAACACGGTATGGAAATCACGTCCCGTGACATTTCCTTCTTTATCTTTGATGGGATCCTTACTCTGGTCGGCCGGAACTCTCGATGATACTTGACCAAATAAGAAGTTCTGTTTCTCAGGTATATTGGTACCTAGATCCAAATCGCCGACTAGAGTTGGAAGACTGGAAGGAACGATATGTTGATCTATAGTCTTAACCGATTGAGTTTGCTCTACGTGAACGCCGGTCTTTGTCGGAGACCAAGGGAACGGTTGTTCTTCGGAGTAAAACACATCCGAAGTTCTCTTTGGTTCGCTTTGCAGTATTGGTAAATTGGAGAAACTGTGCGCTGTCACATCGTAGTTGTTGTAAAATTGATTTGGTGTCCCTTGATTGTATGACGGAGTCTGAGCAAACAGATTGTTCTGGCAGAATTCAAGCTCTTTGCCAATCGGTGGTAAAATGATGTCGGTAATATTTGCGTTGTGTTTAATCTCTGGCGTCATCATCCAGTTCACGGGGGCTCTGATCGCGTGTTGTTGTTGGTTTCCTTTAGACTTTGTAGCGCTTTGTTGTTGCCCGTGCTTTCCGTCGTTGGTATAGGTGACACTATCGTGTTGAAGAGAAGGAATCTGTCCCTGAACCAAAGACTGATACTTGTTCTGATTTTGCTGCTGCGATTTGTCGGGATACTTGAAATTCGAGCTAGCGTAAGTCTCTACAGAATACTTCATTTGCGTACTAACCTCGGGCAGATCAAAATTTACTTGAGAGTCGTAAGTAGACATTGGATACACGGTTTTGTCCTGCTTTGCGGGCATCGACTGATGGCCTTTTGGCCCGTGCTGTTGTTGCTGCTGCGATTGTTGGTCCATTCCAGAGTATTCGTTTTGTATATACTCTGATTCCATCCCATACTTGGACTTGTTTTTATTTTCAGTGCTGAACTTATAATCATTGGTACCGGACGAGGGCTGGCTTTGATTTTGCATGCGACTCTGTTTACCAGACGGAGGTACGTTTGCTTGAATATTTCTTGCTTTCGATGGGTCGACGAAAGATTGTTTCTGTGGTTCCATTCCAGATTTCATTCTCGACTTGTCGATGTTAGCCACGGTCGAATTAGTCGAATAAACGTCGTTCGCCAATACGTTGGAGAAGTTTGCGTTTTCCTTGTGCAGAGGAACGTAATTATAGTTCTCGCAAATGGTTTTCTCCTCCGTGTTGTCCGTTTGACTCGGTCCTTGCTCGAACTGTACCAAATTGTTGTTAGTACTTCCGCTAACAGGCGACAAAGTAGTCCAAGATAAAATGCTGAAGTTGGAAGAATTGTGAGCGACGGTGGTCGTGGACTTTGCGTGATTGTCACTCACGGAACTCGGCTCATAGTTGGACGTGACAACAAAAGACGTCGACTGCTGCGAGTAACGCGAAACAGGCACGTTTTGAATCAAAGGTTTGCTACTCATATTATTCGAAGAATTGGTGTTAATTTTCTTCATATCCTTGTTGGGATAAGAAGCATAACTCTGCGCATTTTCCCGTTTTCCTTGAAATATGTTATTAGTATTGAGCACATTCTGTTCAGCCTGCGTGCTCATAGACTCTTTCACTCCATATGAAAATGTCTGAGCGAACGGATCAACGTCTATTTTCTTCGTAGAAGTATAATTCGTATCGCGTCTGTGATTTTGCGGTTCCTGCTGTTTAGATCTCAAAACGTTATTCAACTTTGCATCCTGGTCTACGATAGTGCCGGTCGAAGAGTCGGAATCCTTGTTCACCTTCGAGTAGCTGCGCTGAAAATGAGTCTCGGTTGAATTGGGTATCGAGTCTTTCGAAGAATAGCTCTGATTCCTGTTAGACGCGTTTGCGTTACTAGTTACAGTAGAATAGGATATAGAGTTCTTTCGAGACAGATTTTTGTTCTGATCCACGGAGTAGTCGTTATGGGAGTTCTGAACGATATGATCCTTTTCGTGTATCGTGTAAGGCTGGTGGTTGCTCTGTTGCGTAGTCAGAACATGGGTGTCTTTTGGCTGTGAATTGTACACGGTTTGCATACCTTGGGAAGAAAGAATAGGAAGAGATACATCTTTGGATTGTATAGAATAGTCCTGTTGCATGCTTTGAGTCGAAGTAGGAAGAACTCTGTCGACGTGGTCACTGTAATTGAGACGATTGTTGGGTACGATGTTGGAATCGACCAGCGTACCATGAGAATCTTTGTTCTTCATTTGGGACGTGTAATCCATCTGCATGGACTGCAAACGCAACGAGGCGTTCGTTGTCGTTGTAGTGCTGGATAAGCGGGAAACCAGAGACGCTTGAGACACGTCTGGCGCTACATTCTGTATCAATCCAGCCGGAGTCACGTCTTGTAACGTTCCGTTGCTACAGACTGTTGAATTTTGTTGCAGACTGTTAAGATTGTTCTCGACGACTGCTGAATAGCTCGACAGAAAGTCTTGGGATGCGGTGTAACGAACACTGGTGTCGCAAGTCGAAGCTTGAATCGGACAAGCGGTCTGGTCTGTCTTACTCGAGCTAGAGACAGTGCCAATGTGAGAGGCGATGATGCTTTCGGTAGTGGTATTGGCGATCGTGTTCTGTAGACTCGTTATGAGCTGGTTCTGGCAATTTACCCTTGTTTCTGTGTTGGTACTGATCGAAGCAGTGGTAGACACGCTAGCCACAGAGTAGGTCGTGTGAGAGAAGGAGTTCGAAGGTGTAGGCTTTTCCAAAGAGGGCAACACACTTTGCACTATCTTGAACGGTTCCCTGAGAGGCTCGTCGTTCACGATCTTGGGCAGGACCTTCGCCGTCGGGCTACACTCCACGGAAACGATCATCTCCGAGCATACTGTCTCGGTTACAGGCAGATTTGCACTTTTCTTCTCCTCGCACGTCACCTTCAAACGTTTCTCCGCTAACGAATGAGACGTCTTTATCTTGAAACTGTTGGGCTCCATTGCTCCAATTTGCAGAAGCATAGGCGGAGTTTGACTGTGGTACTTGAAGTCCTCCTTCATTTCCTCTTCCAGAACCTCGGTTTTACCGTTTAACGACGACACCAGCGGGAAAGCCATTAGGAAAGCTGCAGTCGGGGATATCGACTCGGAATTGTGCGAGCTGGAAGGAACTTGAAGAGACGCGAATATGTCGTTCGAGAGATCCGAGTGAAGACCGTCGGCCCTGTTACCGATTGGCACGAATGAGTTTTCTGTGTTATACGACAACGATGCTTTTGGCGCGTCGTCCTTCAATGTCTTGGCTAACTTGGATTCCTCCTCGACTATGCTAACTGGAAGCAACGACGACGACTGCGTTGTAGCGTCGGACGTCTGCACCGTCGCGTTCGTTTCCGATTTCAACGTCGTCGTGGTATTCGTATCAAGATTTAGAATGATCTTATTGTTTTCTAAATTCGTTGTTCCCTCGACGACTTCTGATTCTTTGGGCGTCACTTGCAACAAATTGTCGAACTCCGCGCCAAGATTACACACTTCCTTCATTTTTTTAGATCCCGCGGACTCTTGGACAGCCTCTTCCACTTCCGTCAAAGACGACTTGGAATTCGGTTGATCCACGTCGTTGTTCGACTTTTCCAATGTATTTTCTATAGGAATGCCAAACTCGGTTTCCGACGAAACTGATACGACTTCGTTGCCAGATTTCAAATCCTCCTCCGAGAAAGTAACTGGCGAAACTGTGTCTGAAATTGACGAGTCCTGGCTTTTCTTGGTTTCGCATTGCACATTATCCGATTTTACAGTATCCACTATCTTCAAAGAATCAGAAACGATTTTGGCGCTGACGCTAGAAGCGCACAATGCAGCTGGACATTCTACGTTTGTTTCGGTAGAGGATTCTAATTCATTGGACTGATCCACGCTATGATCTTTATCTTCGCTCTCGTTCGTGTGCTCGCCTATCTTTTCTATTACGTGTTTCAAACTTTCAATAGATTTACAAGTCACAGCGAAATCCGTTTTCGAGGCAGGTACCGGATGCAACTTAACGGTACTTTCGCTATTATCGATTGTCTTCCGTTTCTTATCAGCAGATTCGTCCGTAAGTTCAGCTTCTGTGCTTGACGGCCGCTTGAGCGATCCTTTCTGCGGCGAATTTCCATCCTCGATAATTTTTTCGCTTTTTTCTTTCTCGTTCCTCTCGTCCGCCGTTTCCACGAGCTGCTGATTTTTAGCATTCTTCGCGTGATTCTTACTCGCTTTAGACTTAACCTCGGTGTCTTTTTTACACGGCTGCTCTTTTGGTTTTTCTGCTTTTTCTTTGTGAACCGCCGGAATAGGAACTTTGTACGTCATGGTCGTTTTCGTGACTTCTTTCACCTTGGGCAAGATACCTTTGTGACCGCCAATTTTCGTTGCGTTCACTATATTTTTCACGTTAGATGCCCAATTTTGCGAATCCACAACCATATTTGCGCGGATATTAGGTACTGTATTTAATGTGACCTTTTGTACCGTATTAATTAAAGCCTGATTGCAGATGGAGACGACAGAATTTTGGACACGATTCGTTAAGGGTTGCATGACGATCATTTGACTCTGCTGAGTGTTACTGAGAATTATGGGATTTGCCGGTTGTTGCTGAGTATTTACAATTATGTTCGACGCCATGGGAGTTACCAAAGGCATTAATTTACCACCAGACAGTATGAGAGTATTTGGAGTCAAATTAGTGACAGAATTATTTATACAAGGCGTCAAAGACTTTTTCCCGTCCTTCTTTTTCGTTTTTTTTTTAATCTTTTTTTGCGATTCCGGCTTCTGTAATGCTTAAAGCAAGATATTAATTGCAAAGACTGGTACTGTAAGGAGGAGAAACTTTACTTAAATTCATTTACACCTACCACTATTAGTTTTGCCATTAAACGGGCAAGCGGCCGTTACGTCGGAATCTATTTTAAAAAAATAGTACATCATATTATATGGCTAAAAGAGAATTGTAGTTAAGAAGAAATATTTACTCGTATTAGTCTGACAGCATTCTGCTTCTTTCGATCCAGTTTCCGATACGTCGTCTGTTGTGTCCTGATCGATGTCCTTACTGTTCGCACGGTTTACCCGGTTTTCCTGATTTTCGATGGAACTATTCGTGTCCTTAGAAACATCGCCGTTCTGTACTAACTTTTTAGTAGACGATTGAGAAGAATGTACCGATTTCCTCTTAGAAGGCACTTTAAAGTCCACAGACTTCTCCCTCCTGTTTTCAGAACTTTTAACTAAAAACAATTATTCTTTAAACATCCAACAAGCCGGTTACAATCGTTCTTTGTTTTACTGTGCAATTTCCAATAGTCTTACTTTCTTCTATCTTATTGAAATATTTTTCTGCGTCCCCTACATTAATTTTATTCGACCACTTTAACGGGGAAATTTTTTCAAGAGCTGGTTCTGCGGGTACGGAGATCCCAGCATCTCTCAACAGCGCTGACAGTAACTGCGTGCGAGAGAAAAGCTGAGTTACTAGTTTTTTGAGACGAGCCAATTCTTCCTCTGTGTACAAGAAAAAATTGAAACGTAAAGAAACAGAATGGTGCATATTTTCCTGGTGACATCGGATGGAGAAAACTTACTGTGTGCTTCAGAAGCATGAGCTGAAAACAACTCGTCTGTGCGACTATGGAGGTCTTTGATATATTTCGAGGCATGGATAAGGATATCGACCTTGTTACGTTTCCGACCTTCCTGATGCGGTGGCAGAAGATCTGCCAGTGTTTTGAAATATGTGTTCATACGTTTTCTTCTGTCTCGCTCCCATGTTTTCGCTTTGCTAAGAAGACGGTGGACGTTAACAAGCGCGCCGTCAAAATCGACGAAAAATAGGCGAGTACAATCAATTGCGTCTAATGAAACGCAAAGCAAACGGTACAATGTTTTTTCGATTTAAGACGAGGTTAGGTAGTCGCTTAGTGGACACTTACGTGTTCTCCTTTCGTGGCATAATTCACCCTGTTGGCATCGTTTCGCGTGAAAAGCGCGCCGCCAGAAGCGCAGAGGCGTCACTTGTGGATGACATTACACAAACTCGAGAATCGTTGTCGAAATTCTGACATTACGATTCTTCTGCTCTGCTCGATCGCAGAACACACGAAATAAAAACTCCGCCGACCGATAGAACCGCGATAATCGTTTGAACCTGCCCGCCACCTATTGATTTTTTCCCCATCAATTTTTTTTAACTGTTTTACTGGGTCTTGCTATCGTAGAAACGTTGCGGTATACGTTACGAATTTGTTTTACCAACATACGTTAATTAAGTTATTCGTTTTCTGTATTATACACACATGGTTCGAAAGAATACACCTCCATTGATGAGAAGAGGACGACAAAACCACAGACGAGATATATGAATAGACCTTTCACCACAGACGAGATATATGAATAGACCTTTCACCTTATGGACTTTCGCGGCCGAATCTGACTGCCATACCGACCTGAAAATTCGGAGGTGATTTTAGCGGCCTCTTCTCATGAATGGCGGTCAGTTGAGAAACTAGGCACTAAATTAGTTTGATGGGCAGCCAGCTGTAGTGTGTGCGTAAGTACATGTGAGTTGACTATGGGAGGGATTGAAAAAGACAGTGCAGTATTATCAGACGACAGACCCGTGCCCAAAGGGAACTGCCCCTCCACTTACACACACTAATGCCAACTACCTTGTATATGAGTTCTGGCGTTTCGTAGAGCTTCGTGGATTCGAGAAAGGCGGCGAATGTGAGTCTATCCTTCTTGCTCTCAACACAGCTGAAATTCGATCTCGCATCATCTCGAGCCGAGATTTTCGACTGCCCAGGCATTTTTGACTTTCCGACCTATGTAGGCGTATACAATGTATAAGCAAAATACCATAATGAAACAAAAATTTCAAAAATTTTTTTTACGGAAATACACGTTTTAGGACCCCTCGATCATATTTTAACTATTAAAAAAAGACATTTATACTGAATGAATTTCACTGTAATTGAAAATTTTTAAATCTGAAAATATTTGAGAATACTGTCCTATTTGTCCTCTTTGTTTAGCAATTTCAAAAAACGCTGACTCATTAAAATCAATCATTTGAAAATGAATGGAAGTTGACACCGCCCCTACTGAAAATGAAAGACTGGAAAATTTTTCTTCTTTCAATGAAGGAAACTCTTTTACTTAATTTTTTTCGAAGGCGAAGACAAAAAAGTCGATTTCGCCACGGCAACAATGGTTCAGATTTATTTCAAACACTTGAAAAATCATCTTGTCTTCTACATTCATCATCAAGCCTTTCTTCTTTGAATGTAGATTAACTTGTTTTATTTCCAATTAATTTATATTTACATGTTAGCGGCAATGTATTTTCCAAGAGAGTCGAATGTAAGGACCACCGAAGGACACTCAATCTACGATAGATTTATGACAGAGTTTTGGGGTGCATGTGGCCTAAAGAGCGAATGAGACTAAACAGGCCTGACAACGGGTGACGCGATAGCGGACGACCGCGTTGGGTCTCCAGGTAGCGCGTATCGCGGCATTGATTGCTTATGAATGGAGAGAGAGTAGTTAAAAGAGGCAGACGACCTGACGTCGTACTGCTGGAAAAAATGAAGACTTTGTCCTGAAGGATCTGGCCACGGAGTGGGGAAGGCGTGAGACCTTCAGGTAAGAGCACTGTGAGGAACGGCACAGGACTTACCCCAGAACCGTCAAAGGCAAAATTTCTAACATACAGGCATGTCTCTATAAATTTCAAATCCATTAATCAATATGAATTTGTGATATCATGTCAGCCAATTTCGAAAATATGGTTTCGAGAAAAACGCATTTAAAATTTCTGGTATGATTATTAACCGCTGGGTACTCTTCCCTCTAAATGGCTATAACTTTGTTATTTTTACGAATTTTAATGAGTCTACGTTTATTATAATTGCTAAATGAAGAGGACGAGTTGCGAGTCAAAGATCAGTTGCGGGGTTTTTAAAAAGGACAGATTTGCAGTTTTGTTCTCATTAATGTTTGCAACGTGTTTGCGAGGGGTGTGTCCGATATATACATATGTATATAATCGATTCATTTTCCTTCAATAATTCTCCATTGCAAAAATTCTACAGTATTCTCACATTTTTTTATATTTTAAAATTTTCCCATGTTATTAGAAAGTAGATATACGACGAAAGTTATACAACTTTATAGTTTCTAGCATGTATAACATGTATATGTATATAACGCATGGTCGCTTCATATGGAAAGTCAATGAATCTTCAAAAAGCGTCCAGGTTCGATTTCGAGAAATGTAAGGTCTGTCAGTCACGATGGCTTTTGTCGTTGATTGACGATTCGAACGATTTGCGATGCCAGGCTTGCTTTCGAGAAATGTAAGCGACGTCAGCGATGCAAGAGCGAGAAGGAAAGCGAGTATCAGCCTGTTCTTCTCGGCTCTTCCGAAACTCAACGAGCTCACGAACACGCAATTGGGCATAGTGTACGAAAGTGAGGAATGAGGAGTTTCCGGGGCCCCGATGCACAGTCTGATAACACTGATTTCAAGTCGCAAATACGTTTCTGCCGAGTTATTTTTTTAACAAATGTTGTGTTACAATTTAAAATAAAAAATAGAGAATTTGCGGTGTACGTATCAGTGAAATACATCCTTAGGTATTTTAATAATGGTAATGGGGTCCCGGGACCCCAGAGAAACGGGCCGAAAAAATACATTAGGTGAAAGGTCTACTCGTATACCTCGTCTGTGCTGGTATATTGTTGACGGGGCGCGCCAACAGATGGTATAGTTTCACGATGCAAACGTGGTGCATCCACGATGAAAATAATTGCGAAGATGCATTGTAGAAAATCGTGCACGTAGGCACGATGCGAAACGCATGTGAATGTCAACACGACTCGAGAAGCTATCGATGCAAACCATCGATTGCAATTCACTGAAATTATTTACGATGAAAAGAAGGATACAGGGTAGAAGACCTAATTGCTATCACCTGAACGATGTATTTACGATGAACATAAACTTTTCTTCCTATTTATTCAACAATCTTTAATTTAAGAACAGAAATATTGTGATATACAGTATCCTTATTTTCATTTATGAATTTATTAATTGGTGAAGAATGCTTTCCAAAATTCGGAATCGTCCGAGGCCACCTAGACAGTTATTACAAAAATAGTTGGGACATATTTTACGTACTCAACGGTGCGAATAACTGTAGGTTCGAGGTAATTTTGTTTAGGTTATCTGGTTAGGTGGTTTTATGGAATTATGTTTTATGATTATCCTACTTACCTGGCGGGTACTGTCTAAGAACCTACGATATAAACCGCTTTTAGTGGTTGTGAATAAATACAGGTTCAGGATACGTGGTTAATACATTTCAATTGCGATGGTCCGTTGAAAAAATTTGTTGTTTCGTTCGCGACGAGGTTTGTGCTCGGATTCAAGTAGGTCATTTTGAACACGTCTTGCAAAGATAAGGAGATATATTCGATAACGATTCAAAAGCAAAGTCAAATAGGACACGTGTCAACATAACCTTATTCGATTATTTTTGTACCCAGAATCCATCGTTGAAACGGTTCTCGTACGTTATGGAACACTCTGTACACGAATACACGGTCGTGCGAAATTTTAGTTTTCAACGTTGCGGCTTAGCGCGTGCGGTATTAATTAATGATTTAAGTAATACGCGGCCGAGTTTCAGACTCTCACGCGTCTACGTTTACGCCCGCCGCCTCTGATCCGCGGCCAAGGAATGCACCGTGCATAATTGCGATCATCCCGTGAGAATCATTTATGCAATTAGCGGTTCGGCTTTCAGGAAATGTCTTCGTGGTAATCGATGCGCCTTCGCGTTTCGCCGGACTCACGATATCGTTAATTTAAAATGCACGTATTCCAACAGAGCCCCGACATCGCCTCGCGGATCTTTGGGTTCGTAGATCAATTTCGAGGGATCGGTGCGTAGCTTGTACCTAACGGGGCACCTTAATGGAATATCCCCCTTTCATCGCCGGGGCCGCGTCCGTGTTTGCAAACAGTGCATCTAATTGCGTCTATAACTCTTCTAACGTTGCATTTACACACGAACGTATTCAAACGCTTAGATGTCTTAAAATATTACAACAGGAAATAATATAATCGTGCAATTAGTACACCATGATTTTTCAGGTAGCTTCGATAGAAACATAACCTAGAAATAAAAGTATCGGAACGACCTTGAATTACAGAAGTTGTTAGAATTTTATGTATTAATACTATTTCTACCGAATTGTTCCGATAATTGAAACCTGGCGGAAATAGTGTTTAAACAAATGGTAGAAAAGATTTATCAGAAATTTTAATTTATATTATAAGAATTTTCTTTGTAAGATTCTTCTGGTCACGAAAGGGTCAAGAAAGTTTATGATTGTCGGGACCCTCTGGCGTTCTTTGGAAGGGAAAACAGGGTCGACGTAACGAGTCGGGTTTTATCCTAGTTCACGGGCCGGGCGATACGAAATTTACGGCAGCTCGAGGGGGAGGAGGGGGCTGGGGGCTGGGGGTCTAGACCGTCGCGCCGACGACGCGACGACAAAGCCGATAAGGGCTAGGTGGTCGGTGACGACAAGAAGAAAAATTCGCGCTGCAGCACCGGGTGTCTGCAGGATTTCGCGTGGGTGGCGAAAGAACGGAGGAAGCGAGCCAGCCGGCACCGGTATTGATTACGAAGGAAGGCCGCACCCTCTGCCACCCTCTGGCTAGACCGTTGAGCAGGGGTTGGCCAGCGCCAGCGTCGCGACGCCGCATCGCGAGAGAAATCCTGCGCAGTCGTCGATGGATCTCTACGTTTAGGGGCGAGAGAGCCTATATCGTTCCACTTAAGGGCGCTCTCTCCTGTGGAGACGGATATAAAAGGGTTTCTTTAACATAATAACATTCTAACAGGATACAAGCCATATTTATTGAGTATACATTTTCATCCACAGGTCACCGAACGCTTGAACTCATCTGCCTTGTGTTTTGCAAGTTCCATGAATAGCAGACCAGCATAATTATATTTACCAATCGATGAAAGCTGTTTAGATGGTGGAATAAAACTATTCTATGTAGAACAGGA